ACTTTCAAGAACTATATAGCTCATGTTAAAACTCTTTTTGATGGAGTAAAGCGAGAAGTTACAGGCAAGTGTGTTTAGTAGCAAGTACGCGGGGTGTAAAATATCATCTCATTCTGTTTTTATCTGGGCCAATAAGAGCTTTTACCTTCAAAAGCCATGTGATTTTAGACAAAGGTGAGCAAGAATGTTTTTTTAACCAGTGTTGAGAAGTCCTGCAAGATCTACATTTCAGGGGGTGGGCGGTATTTTGGTTCTTTTTGTGGATTATTGAATAACTCTGCTGGTCCTTCCAGAAAATGATTCCTTATATTTGTGGCAAGGGAACAAATATCACTGAAGAGGACTTTTAAAGCCAGAACCTTCATGGCCTACTTAGAATAATCCATGAAGATGTATGCAACACATTTGGTAAATTCCTTAACTCCTCCACAACAGTGTTTTTCCTCTAGGAAAACGTGCACTAGGAAGATCCATCATTGAAAATCACTTCACAGTATTGCTAGTGTATGTTGTATTTGCCTTAATGTCTTAATAATATCTCAAACGTATATTTTAAAAGTCATCCTAAAACTTGGTCTGAAGTGCTTATCCTTCCATATATTCGGAAGCTTCGCCTCCAGTTTAGTCTGCTGTATTCAGATTAACCTTTCCGTGCTGAGCTGTGGACAGAAAATGCTGGGCAAAGTATGGTCTTTTTTAAGCAAAGTGGGTTATTTTTAAGCCATGATATAAAATGAAGCTATAAGCCATTGTCTGATAATATAAATTACTATATATTTTGTATTCTATTTACCATATAAATCTAGTAGTATTGTAATAGTATGTAGTAATTTATTAATAATGTATATAGCAATTTAATATGGTAATATTGCAACATTATAATGTACGTGGATGCCTTAGCATAACAATATGTCTCTTTCATGGCCCATTTGTCTTGTGATTTCCACTGTGTCCATTTGTACTTGTTCCCCGTAGAGTTTGAAATCCTGGAGTAATAAAAGTTGATACACGTTTATCTTGCATTTGGGAGAATATAAAAAGTTTGCTATCTTAACATTTTTCCTCTTCATCGGGGATTCATTCAAATACAGGAGTTGAGGAATATAAAGAGCTTAAGTGTCTCAGTCACCTTGACTAAAATTCTGCTTTCATTGTAGCATTTACACAGAACTAGACTGGTGGCATAAAGTTGCTTCCTAAAAAGATCTGTTTTCTGCACTTTGCACCTTCACAGAGCACGACTGTTCAATACTGTATAACTCCTTTGGTATATTTACAGTTATATTATAGCACTGCAGCACTTTCAGTCAAACTAATTAAAACCTCCAGGATTAAAGGAGCTTTCTAATTTTGAAAGGATGAAAATGTCATGGTAACTTTGCAATCCAGAATGATTCCAGAGATCACTGAACTTGCATGAAAGAGATGGTAGTTGGTGCAGATGTCTCTGGTTACTTACGCAAGGGGGAAACATATTTACACATGTTGTTTCTTCACGTTACATCACCTTGTATCCTAAAAGAGTTTTTAGCTCCACACCAAACTTCAGTCCTACTTTCTTTACACCGCAGGTCTCTGATAGTTGTCAGCTCTGCTGTCAGACGTGTTCACTCATTAACACACTGACGTCTGTTTGCTGCTTCACCTCTTACCCACAGGTTTCTGTCACGTCCAACTAGTACTAGCACTACAGGACCGTTTTATTTACCCAATGAGGCAAGAAAGCCATCCCAATGTTGTCATGGGGTGATACAGACATACTTTCTGTTTTTATGAATTGCTCCCAGTGTTTCTAAACAGCTGGGGTCAGGGATGAAAGTAAAACAAACTGGGATTCAAAGTTCTAAAGATGTTCAAATCTTTATCATCAAATACCATAAAAGGAGTAGTCTAAAATATCTTGGTCAGGTCCCTGTTGGACCTTCTGTGGCTAAAAAAAATCTTTATCGTGAAAGCACAGTGAGAACCACATAGCCTTAGGCCTCTAGTGTCAGTCAGAGCAGAATTTCCACTGTTTATCTGTGATTGTTCCTAAGACAGGAGAGAACAAAGCTGTCCTGTCTTTTCCTGATATAATTTAAATGTGTCATTTAAATCATGCAGCTGGGTAAGTGAAAAGAACTGAGTCAGTTAACAAATGTGAACAAAAAGACCTGATATTCTGCACTTGCTATTTCCATTTTACAGTCAAATAAAATGGTTTTGGTTTAACCTTGTTAAAATGTCTGTGGGTTTTTTTATGAAAAAGAAAACATTTTAACCCTTTAGTTATAGTTTCCATTTCTATTTGCAGTTGTTCAAACTCATATTGGTACATGTTTTCAATGACATTTGTGCACTACAATTACATTCAGTTTTCTTGACTTTTGTTTTTATCTGGCTTTTTTTTGTTTTTATCTGTATGTCTATTGATCTTTTAAACATTAATTCGTAATTTGGCATAGATATGTTTATATTTCTGTAGATGCTTAAATAAATTCCCCCTTTTGCATTCTGTGGGAGCTTTGAAGTATTAATTTATTTCAGACTTCTTTAAGGTTTTCTCTGGTCAAAGTTTGATTTTTTTGTAATGTATAATTAATTGAAAGAGAGCAGTTTAAAGTTCAGGGTAATGGTATAAACCTGTTTTGATTACCTCGCAAGCTAACTTTATGTTTGGTAGGGTAGCCACAGTATAAGAGCTCCATACAGGCTTTGTACCTGTATCAGTTTTCTTTAAAAAGAGAGAAAAAAGAATTAGAATCCATGTTAAGTCTGTTATCATTGCTGTCTCCATTTACGTCATCCAGTTAAAGTTAATATTTGACTCTGAAGCTGCCAATTCTTGTAACATGATCTTCCACGACCTCTTCCTCTATTTTGAAGTATGGCTTGGTAAACCAATTGGCGATTAAAAACAAGTTATGCAGTTAGTTTTGTTTGCACTTTCATTTCAAGGTTATTGATATTGGAAATAACAGTTCGTTTAATAAAAACCATATGCCTGGGGTGAGAGGTGATCTTTTGGAAAATAACTTGTTTGGTATTTTTTTATTACTGTTATACAGTAATGTTATACATGACTGTATAACTGGTTCATAGGCATCTTATGTATAAATCCTTGTTTCTAAAAAAAGCAGGTAACCCAGGTGTTAGACTATAAAACCACTAGGATACCATTCAATCCATATTATCCAACTGGCTTCTAATGGCTTTTAAATCTGAGACCTCCTTTTGAGAAGGAGCTTGCAAGATTCTTGAGAAGTAGCTGGGGTATTAAAGTTAAATATACGGAATATCTTACCCCCCTGAACTGACACCATTAATTCTTTTCTGCAGTATAACAGGTTTTATAGAAAGGCATGTGATGAGCCCAGGGACAGCAAATGGCAGTGAATTAATTGACATATTAAAACTGGTTTTTGAAAATGTTTTCTTTCATAATTCAACAAAGTCCAGTAAATGAGTTTCAGATAACCCAGAACTGAGGAAGCACAACGATTTAAAATATTGCAAACGATAAGTCAGTGTTCATAGATACTAAAATATGATTACATAGAAAAATCTAAAAAAGATTTATTAGCTACAGGTAAGATTTTAAAAATTATACAAATTATAATTAGTTAAATTATTTTAGTGTTCTTGACTTATATTGTAAAGTTAATTTAATGTGTTTTTAGCATATAAAACCCCAAATTCTTCAATCCAAATCTGGAGAGCACAGGGCAAGACAGTGTTCTTACACTACGCCAAGACATAAAAAAGAATAGCAAGTCTGACTTCTAACCACTGCTCTTCCCTGGAGTGCAAGATGACAAAGGTCTTCTCACCTTAAGAGCTGTCGTACATCATAAAGTATCGTGCCTAGACTGAGTGTTTCAGAAAATGTTTAGAAAAGATACTCAAATGCCTCTGTGCATTCAGATTGCAAGACATGGACACTTTTTTGCCAACGGAACTCTTAACAAACCATGTGGGATGTGGGATGAAGTAATTGATTTACAGGTTTCTTAAATCATCCGTCTCTTTTGAAAACTGAGATTTTAATTGTCCATGCATTGAAAACGGCTTTGATGAACACGCCGTCCTTTACACAGAGATTCAAATAACAGCTATGCGTGCCTGCTAGCAGAGCACCGTTTCAGAGTGTGAACCCGATATGGAAGACAGCATGAATGCCTACAATACACATGAGGGCAGAAATACGAGAATAGCAGTAATTATAGCAGCCTGAAATATTTGTGGGGGTCCTCTGTACAGGACGACGTAGTAAATGAAAGGTAACGCAGTTGCCTGGCTCAGTTCTTGTTTGTTCTTTTTGAGTAAGAGGGTAGAGGAGGCCCCAGTAAGGACATGAAGTATTGACTGCAGCAGTTGCTAGGAGATGTCCAATAATAATGAAGTGATAAGGAAAGGTGTTTTATTTGAAGGAGAAAAAACAATGCATGGTACAGTGAAAGTATGTTTGTTTCGATGAGTAAGGTGAAGGATAAGGCTCATGACAAATACCTGCTTCCTGTACTTTGCCAAATCCTAGTCACCTGAAACCCTTTTTCGTCTCTGAATTACAGTTCAATGTAATCGTGGTCTCAATGAAAAAGCGGCAGTTTTGAGTCTCCATTGGGCTTAACTGCCCCCTTCTTATCCTGTTTGCAATATTTAAAGAATGCACGCAGGATGCATGTGAAAAATCACTTCAGTAGGCCAACCTTTTTATTAAAATCTTTACAAACCAGTTTTACACCTGGTTGACACCCAGTGTAAACATATTTACACAAGAAGATGGTGTAAAGCAGTTACTGCTCTGTTAACGTCTCATTTTTATTTGTGCGGGAAAAACTTGTCATCCCGTGCTTCACAGTTTCTCAGACATTCCCTGAATTTACTGTATTTTTGTCACTTCAGTACAGTGTTTTCCTGTTGTATCCTTGTTTCCAATTCTATTGAAGCTACCAGATACAATGTATGGGAGAATCGAGCTAGACTAAAAAGAAACCTTTTTTTATTTCTTGTTGCTGCAGTGAAGTATATGCGGGAGGCGACCCCTTATGTGAAGAAAGGCTCTCCTGTGTCAGAAATCGGATGGGAGACCCCCCCTCCTGAGTCCCCTCGGCTTGGCGTCACATCCTCCGAGCTTTCTTCTCCCCCAGTGGTGTCCCTTCAGGGTGACAGGCGATACATCCCCTTGAAAATGTGCTATGTGACACGGAGTATGACTACTCCAGACCCTGAGAACAGGTAAATGATTGACATTCCATTACACTGCTGAAAGTTTTACTCAGAGTTGTACAGCATTAGTTGGTTCTACGTTTTAGGTACTTCTTTCATAATAAATGAGAAATAGTTTTTCACTGGAGTATGCTAGCATTTAGCAGAGATCCTTTAGAAATATGTCACAGCAACAAGGCAGTAGGGTCATCTTTATGTCAGTGAAGTGAAACTCAACAAACCTAATGGAAATTATTCATATTTTGCAATGAAAAATAATTACAGAAATTGCTTCTTGTCTTTATATGTTTGAGGTTTGGAGATCACTCGTCTGTGTTTTGTCTCTCAGTGCTTGTCAATTTCTTTTCTCACAAAACACATATTAACAATGACTTCAGAAGTCTGCTGTGTTTAAGCACTCCCCCAGAACTGTGTTGGACAACACTGTGAGAACAGAAACTCCTGAGAATTGCAAATTCTTTCATTACAAAGTTTATCGTTTTATCTTTTTGTTCAAAACTAGGTTGATGAAAAGATCAAATTCTGTAGGAAGCGAGAGTGAGATTGAATGTTAGCATTGTTGCACCAATAATAATGAATTCAGGCCAGTTCACGTTAATGAACTGCAAATCTAAATGATGTACTTTTTAGCCACTCAGCAGAGTTTTCACATCTCTAATATTTGAAAAGAACCCAGATTTGTATAAATGCTTGATGTTATGCTTTCAAGAACATCATCAAAATTAGAAAAAATTATTTGAATTTAAACTACAGTAGTACCTTATTATTTAAATTAGAACATTGCTCCATTTTAGTCTAAATGAGAGAGTCCCTGAAAAATTCAGATATACAGATAGAATCCTTATCGGCTTATACCCAGGAATAATGAACATCTTTGTGAGATTTGACTATGATCTTGATATTTCAGATATAGATTTAGAGAACTGTTGTCAGTTTGTTTTTGAGACTCAACAGAGCAGTCGAGATCAGAGTGTAAATTCTAGACTGATAGCCGAAGGCACTTATTCACACTTTCGTTTTGCATTATCTATAGAACTCGCAATAAAAATGTCAGTAGGTGGGTAGCAGTCCATATGTCCCTCGGTTCTTATTTTTACCTCCCAAGAGTTTTCATTCTTCTTTGTGAACTGTTTGCCTGTGATCAGAAGGGTTTATCTGAAAAGCCACTTCAGACAGAGTACAGTGAGATAGCTATGGAGTGTAAAATGAAATAACCAAATTGTTCAAGAGAGAAATCCACAGTCGACACAGATCAAAGTGTCATTCTTTTTTAATTCTGCTTTCTTTTTCTCCCTTTAATGTCTATTCCTTGCATACATTTCAAAGCATCTTGAAGGTTGTTTTTTTCCCCCCTGGCTGAAAACCCCTGACTAGCCTTTGAAACTTTTAAGTCTGATTGCTTCTCTTTTGGAACAAAACTTCTTCCCCTTTTTGTGTCAAAGCACTTTTTTGTGTAGTTTTTCTTGAGTCAGGAGGCTGAGACAAAACCTTTAAATCATGCACTGTTGGAGCCCGATGCTCTCAGTGACTGAGTACATAAAATGACAAGGCACTGCTGGTTGTGTTTTCACAGATTTGTCATTGCTCATTTCAATGACAGATAAACCTTATTCTGAGGTGACTTGTAACTTAAGATATGATTGTACCACTGCACTTTAGAACTGGAGTTAGAACTGAACGGGTTGGAACTGAAGATTTCAAAAATAGTTTCTCTCAGATGAAGAAGCCACTCACAGGAAACAGCGCAGAGGAGTCACACCACAACTGGCTTGTTACACTTGAAGATTATTTGGTCCCTAGTCTTTCACTCAGCTTCTCATAACTTATGTTTCTTCTACAGTAAATGACCAAACAGCCCTTCAGGCATTCTGTTATCCACTATAGGCAGAGCCTTTTTCATGATATTGTTATGGTGTGTGATGCTTCAGGTATTCTGATGCTCTTTAGTCCATGAGTGTGTATTTTCTAAAGCACTGAGATTCTGCACAGCTTTAATGAATGCAGTAGGATAACAGCATAATTTCTGACTGCTAAAGAATTCAATCCAATTTATATATATATATGATGCTTTACAGAACTGCAGTCAATTTATAGATCAAAAAAAGTTTACTTTTATCACTTCTGAGTTCTGATAAGTTCCTAACAGATTGTTGTATGCCTGAATATCTCTGAATATTTTCAATACTTTTTTGTGAGTTCACATTAATTGGTTGTAAACTTGGATGTTACCTGAAGCATGTCCTTTTGTCCTTTTGTTTTGTTTTTCCAATGCAAAATGATGCATTTTACACTTATATTGTTGCCACCTGGAAAATTTGGGAAAGTTGTCTATTTACTATACGAATTCTTCACATACTCTACATTGTTGATTAAAGTACAAAAATCAGTGCAAAATAGGAGAATTCGCTTTATTAAAGGAAAAGGTTTAAAAATCCTTTTCAAATCACCTTATTGTATTTTCAAATCTTTTATCATTTTTAAAAGAGCATTTGTGGTTCAACAACAGGCTGTGATGATGTTTGTTTAAACGTGCTTTCCAAATATTTCACACAGTACTCTGTAGAAAAATCGAGAGCTACAGTACAGGTAGATTCTTTTTTACACGTGCATCCACACGGTGCTCAAATTCTGCCTTCGTCATTCGGGGAGGGGGCTTTTTTCTTTTTAAATAAGGAACCAATTTATTGGTAGTTCTTTTAATAGGAACACCATTTGCCAATAGAGTTTTGCTAAGTTTAACAAGGGGAATGGCATTTAGCCCTTTACCCCCCTCAATATGAGTGCAACATCCACATTTTCTAGGTAGTGGTGTCATTGTGAAGGAAGGGTTTACCCGTTGTAAATGTTAGTGAACTTTGCAAACTTTTGTGGAGGATCTCATATAGCCTTTCTGGTTATTATATTTTATCCCCCTCAAAGGATTCACATATTAATCTTCCTGTGGCACAGTCTAGAGAGCCCAGACTTCTTTTATCTCCTAAGTTGGATTGCTTGCAAGACATTTACATACTTGCTTTGAAAAGAGATCCTGAAGTGTAAAATTTACAACCTGCTTTGCACGCAGGTTTGAAAAGCATAGATTCTTGGCCTGAGTCATGTCTCCACAGTGCTCATTCATCCCTTGTTACCTTCTGCTTGTCATTTTCTACATCCTCTCCGAATAACCAGGATTTGTACAAGTCTAAGAGGGTAATTTAAGGAGATTGCCCTAGAGCTTGAAGGCTTTCTAATTAAATTTGAAGGTTTTTTTATGTGTTTTGCAATGTTAAATGTTGTATTTGTCACGCCCTCCACAGCTGGAGGACGCTCCTGCTCTGTCCTGTTCCTGGTTTCCCTGTGCTTTCCTTGTACTTCCGGTGTGTCTGGTGTCTGGGGCTTTATATTTCCGGGTCTCTCCTTGCTTGGCATTGGGATCGGTTGTCGAGAGGCTCGCCTCACCAGGTCGCCCCATGTCCGCTTCCTAAGGGCGTATGTCTCACCCCGACTCCACCCGAAATCTTGATTCCGGACGAACCCTCTCGTTCACTCCGTTCCTGCCGCCACTCATAGGGTCCTACCGTCTCAACGGTCTCTCCACGGGTAGCTCGGGTAGCTTCCTTGACAGAAAGCTGAGCCAACACTGGACCCTGCGAGTGGTCTCCTGGCCACCCTGGCTTCTGTTCCCTGTCTCCCTTTACTTCTTTCCCTGGCTTTTGTTTTTCTGGCCACCCTGGCTTCAGGTCCTAGTCTCTCTTGTCCTTTTTCCAGGCTTCTGTTTTCCCGGCCGGGCTGGCTTCTGGTTCCCTGGCCTCCCTAGTTTTGTTATTGTTGTTTGTCCCCCTGTTCCGTCAGGGGTTATTTTTTTTCCCGTGTGAGTTTGTTTTTCTGTGTTCTGTCTGCCCGGGCTCCCACGCCCGCTCCCATGGTCGTTGTCTCCCTATATGTTGTCAGTCATTTTTATGTGTTTTTGTTCCCCTATTCCGTTGGGGCTTATTTTGTGCTTTGTTCTGTTTTTTTTGTGGTCTTGCTCCCCCAGAGTTTTACTCACCCCCTCCGCCCAATAAAGGTTTTTTTACCCCGGAGGAGCCGTAGACTCCCGGAGGTTTCCTTTCAGTTAAGTTAGGTTTTTCCTCCTCCCAGTGCTGTGCAGCTTATGTATTTTTTGGGCATCAGGACCGGCCCCTGAGGGGGTCTCTCCTTCCTCCTCGCTCGGCATTGGGATAGGTTGTCGAGAGGCTCGCCTGACCAGGTCACCCCACATCCGCTGCATGGGGGCTTATGTCTCACCCTGACTCCACCCGATACCTTGAGCCCGGACGAACCCTCTTGTTCGCTCCGTTCCTGCCACTACGCATAGGGTCCTAATGTCTCAACGGTCTCTCTCCACAGCTAGCCCCTGGCTTCCGTGACAGTATTTGAGCAAATATTGGGGTATGTTTTAAAATTAAACATTTAGTTCCCTAAATTAGTTAGGGAACTACAGGTCTTAAAGACATTGTTTTGTTTATAGGGAAAATTTAACAACTTTCTAATGCATCTTTACCCTTATAGTTGATCTAGGTAACCTTTAGCACATCTTGTTTGTAAAGCACTAGCCTCAGAAGTAATCCTTATAATTATAATTTCAATTATAACATTTCAACGGGATAAACCAAATTTAAAAAGTGTCAATATCTTTTTTTACAATCTGTTCATTTGACTTTATAAACAGACTAGCTTCTGCTTTTTTGATTTTTTTGACCTTGCATTTTTTTTAAATGCCTAAATAAGTATTAGAATATTTCTGGGTTTTAAAATATATGCTCTGGTCAATTGCATGTTGTTTTTTATTATTAAAGTATCAAGAAGGTAAACCTTTTTAGCTTTTTTTTACATACTTCCCTTTGTAGAACCTACAGTAATTCCATGTAAATTTGAAGATAAAACAGAAACAAGAGCACGGAGTAATAAAGAAGACACTTAATAGCATATGAGATAAGTTACAAATAAATAGCAAGAAATGGTACAAACTGCTGCTCTTTTAAGCAGTTTGCTTTGGAGTCTACAATTACAATTAACAAGCTCCCTAACAGGCTAAGGAAAATTATATAACACATTCAGAACATTCTCCCAATCCACCTCTCAGGCCTTTTAGCTAACAGTACATGTACAGTAGTCCATCCTAATCATGTATAATGGCTCATCTGAGAAAAAAATAAACAGTTCTTTGAGGCATCCATGTCACCCAAAAAAGGGGAGACCATTTCTTTCATCTTTCTCACCTTTTAGTTTATTTTTCTCCCTCCAGTGTGTGTCAGTATTAGGTTTATACTCCACTAAAAATTACAGCCATTATCTTTGTGTATCTATTCAAGACCCCATTTATTAAATGTTCCTGCATGATTTTCACTGCATGTTTTTTGCATCTGGTTGTATGGAAATACCCTAAAACAGCTAGTTTATCAAAGTCTTTCACCATCATCTTTGGGCTTTGTGTGTTCTATAAATAAGGAAAACATCTGGAATGTCATTTCCCAAAAAGGTATACTGTAGCTGGAAAGCTTTGATAAAACTGGCACCAACTGGTTTATTTTAAAGGATTGCTTTCTAAATTGGGTGGAGGAATCTTGTATGGGCAGAAACTTAATCACAAGGCCAAGATTGGATGGCCTTTTTTACTTTATGTTATAAACAATTTTTTGGACCCCTTTTAGGAATCATCTCTAAAACCCAGCACTTGTTCTACATCTTTTTTCCACTGAAGTCTCATTTTTTTGTGATTTTCTATTTTTAACTAAGAAGAGCACCTGGAACTAATATACCGTGTTGTACAGTATATTAAACATTTTTTCCACTCCAAGTCACAGAAATGCCTGGATGGTTAAATAGTGGCAGGGTTACTTGCAAATGTACCAAAGTCTTGTGGAATAAGATTTCTGACTTGCTCAGAAAATATGGATTTGTCCAGGTCACCCATATTTTTTAACAATTAAAAATTAGCTCATTATACCAGACACATTGCCAGTTCCTATGAAAGATGCCATTTAACCTTAATTTTCTTATTGCATCACTTCTAAGTAACAAAGAGCATAGTTAAGAGGTGAATACTGAATAGGTGTAATTAGGTGTGCACCACAGGAATTTCTGTCAGGACAGCACTCCTCTTAATTGATCTCAGTAACCTGGGTTTGTATTTCAATAACCTGGGAGGCATGGTGGTAGATTGGTTAGTGTTGTTTATTTGTAGCTCTGGGGTCCTGAGTTTAATTCAGGAACTGGGGTGCTGTCTGGACTGGGTTCTCCAATTTACTGTTACTGTATGTTAATTCGTTTCTGGGAAAATTGGCCCTGGAGTGAATGTGTGTGCGTGTCTATGTGTACTCTGCGATGGACTAGCGTCCCATCTAGGGTGTATCCTGCCTTTGCACTCGGTGCTTGATGGGATATGATCTGACTCCCCCACAACCCTGAACTGGTTGAAGTGCTTAGAAAATGAATGGATGGAACTGAATTCTGGAATTCCCAAATTTACCAGATGACACCAAAATAGGAGGAAACTGTAGATGCAGTGAGAGAAACTATTAGAGAGAAATATTAACATTGCACAATGCACTACTAACAGTTTTGAAAATATTCTTCACAGTTGCAGTCCCTGTGTTATAAAGAAAGATGTTGCTGCTGGTAAATCACTCAAGAGAAGAGCAACAATATACTGTATATTCTGAGACAGTGGAACGTCATATTCTGACAGGCAGACGTTTTTAGTTTTTTAGTTTGTACAGAATACAGAATAATATGAGGGGTCATAATTCGGCTATTCAAAATCCTCCAAAAATGGATTTCTTCAGGTTCGACAGTGAACAAAAAGCAAATGGAAACTAGAACTCTAAAAAGGCTTTTAACATAGAGGAAAGAGGCAAAGTGTTATTCATAAAGCTCCCTTTGTTTGCTTCCTGACCATGATATCAAAGCAGATACGCTGGCTTCTTTCAAGAAAGAGCTGGATGAGATCCTTTGATCAATTAGCTACAAGCAACCAAATGAGATAGATGAGCCAAAATATCATATCTATTTTGCAGCCTTTCTCGTGTTTCTTTCGTATTTTTGGGTCCTGGACTCAGAGGTTTTTTAAGTAACATGTCTTAAACAGCTTGGAGAAGGTGTTGAAGAGATTCCGCTGACCCGACAAGGAGCTGATTTAGGATATTGAAAGCTGGGCTGCAATGAAAACCTGCTGACGTACTGTCATTCCAAGATGAAGACTGGACATTGCTGATGTAAAGGAAAAGACTTTCTTGCACAGTTGTGCTGTGCAATGAAAGCACTAATCTTTCACTGCAGAATGGTTGTTTGCAATAAATACTTGCAAAACTGGAATAAGATCTTGTACAGCCAGTCTGGCCAGGCCTTAGCAGGACCTTAGATTTTAGAAGTGAAAATTGATTTTCCTTTTTTACATGCTGCACTTTCAGCACTGATGAATAAATAATCTTTTGTAATATCTTCTCTTGCAGGCAGTTCGAACTTCACTCCCCTGATGCCAAACACACTGTGGTCTTGCGATGCAAGGATACGGCTACAGTGCAGGCCTGGTTTAGTGTGGTGCAGTCCACTGCTGCACAGTTTGTTTCCAAGGCGATAGCAGAGGTCAAAGAGCAGACAGGAAGAACAGGGATTGCCGGGAGTAGAGAAATCTGCCACCTTGGTTGGCTTGCAGAAAAAGTAAGAAATTCCTGTATTTCTCTGGCAATTATCAACATATTACCTGACCATATCATTTGTAGGGTATGGGGCACAGTTGAGAAGGTAATTAATTTTGAAAGTATTGTGCAATCTACAGCTTCACCAATGTAATATAAAACTGTAATTGTGCAAATTACCACCCTTCAGTATGCGGCAGAGGATAGCTGTTGTTAAGATGTTAATCAGTGTGTGATTAACACAAAAATGTACATACTGTACCTGTCAACCCCTTAACGGTTCACACCACTGAGACCTGTACTGAAGAATTTGGGATTAGATAGGATTAGGGATTTATTCAAATGCAAATTGGGGTAGTCCTAATTAAAAGTGAAGTTGGGGATGGGGTTCATGGTCCTCCTTGTAGCTTTGCCCTGCTCAGAGGTGAGGGAGATGTCTCAGTATTCTCTCTATTATTCACATAGTCATGAATAACAACCAGATCACTTGACTGTAATTTTATCATTTAGCATTCTAAATATTATATCTGTTGCTTTTATTTTTTTGGTAGGTTTTCAGCTGAGGTTGAAAGATTGAGACTGATTTTTTTTTTAATTAAATGTAGAAAGAATTCCATGTTCAGTATGAAAGTGTTTACAGGTAGTATGCAGGCTGAAGGTTCATAAGGTTCATTTGTTCTTCTAGAAATACAAGAAACCTTCCTCCTTTAGGGAGTCTGTGACTCTTCGTGAAGGAATAAAATGCCCTTTTGTTCCAAACATTTAACAAGAGAGGACCATCAATAAATTGTTCTGACATAGTACCGAGGGATACAGAATGACGTTTTCTTCATGGCTGTGCTGTTTCTTGAAATCCTCTTTTCATCACTCTCTCATTTTGCAAGTCATGGCATTGATCACTAATGAACAAGAAGACCTTGTTTTTGGCAATATGAAGTGCCACTTCTCTGGATTTAATGAGGTCCTCACTTAAAGTCTCTTATTACTTAGTGTGTTAAATGTCTCTTCATTATGAATAGCTTTAAACAGGAAAGCCTTCAATTTTGTGAACTGCAAGTCCACTGGCTTACTACCATTCCTGTGAAACAACCAAAGCTTTCAACAAGTGTTTATCTGAGGATCTCCAGGATATGGGGCTCTCCAGGCTTTAATGTCTTTGTATACTGCAGTAAAATCTGTTTGGTTTCCTGTCATCTCTCCATTATACTCCCTCTTAGATTGTACAGATTCTCTTCTTCTTTAGACAGAAAATGAGAAGCAACGCTGGAAGCCAGTCTTGGTGGTTGTGACAGAGAAGGATCTTCTCCTGTACGACAGCATGCCAAGGATGAAAGAGGCCTGGTTCAGCCCTGCACACACTTACCCTTTGCTCGCGACAAGGTGTGATAGATCAGTCCCACAAGCCATGTTCACAGTATGAGCCGAGTAGCAGCATGAGTGATGTGTGTTACGTTGGGAAGTCCGGACATAATCTAACGTACGAAAGGAGTTCCCTTTCGGATGTGAGATCTAAAATGCAGGTAGTATTTGCTGTGGAGTGTTAAAGGTAGTATCACCCTATAGAGCAAGAGATGCTTGGGAGATTATGTTGAATATTTAAGATTTTAGAATTGTGTTATAACCAGTCTTGCTGAGATCATATAAATCTTAAGGATGAAGGAGACTGTGGTGGTAATAATGTTTTAAGTTTATTTAAGTAGAAGAATGGAGCCCTTCCAGCAGTTATTGCTCAGGTTAAATACCAGCTGTCAGCTCTACAAATCAGGCACAACATGGGCCTCAGGCTTGTTAGTCAACTGGTCCATGTTATACCTGTATTTTGGCACTTGACAAACCTTCAGGGGTGCTGGATCCATGTAATAAGAATTTCTACTATCAGTTAAATGGACCATCCAGACAGTTACTCTGGCACCTTAGCTGAAGGGTTTGAAGATAAGGCCATGTGCCAGAGGTATGGAATACTGTACATAACAGGTTTCTAAGCAGGGATGTACCGATTAGAATATAATGTTGACCGCTAGTTAGGCCAGTTACAAAAGTATGCTATTGGGACAAAGTTCAAAGAAGAAAAACAATCAGGAATTTTCTTTTATCATGAAAGTTTTGTTAAGGTGCTGCAGTATCTTGATGGCAAAAAATACAATTTGTATGTTTAATGAGCTCTGCTATCATTACATTTCATCAATTTACTAATTCAATCCAATATCACTATTGAGTGATGTAAAACATGTTATACAGACTGTCATGTTAACACCATAATTTAATGTAAGTAAATATGCCACAACAAATACTGTATATGCTATTTTGGACTGTCAGTGTCAGTTGTGAAGAATCTTTAGATTCTTTAGAATCTTTAGCAGGAGCTAACGTACAGTTTTTTTTACTTTTGATATCAGTTTAACATGACTTTATTGTCAAGTCAGCAATGCTCTTATAGCACTAAAAACAGGGAGTGTTCTCCTTTGGCTATTATTTCCTGGAAATTTCTACTTGTCTATCTTGTCCTATTTGATATTTTCGGCTCTGACAAAAGCTATTGTATCTCAGAATTTCTATAAACATTCCCATAAAAGCTATAGAGGCATATGTTCTATGTATTGACTGAGTTTTTAACCTTTACTATGTGCTTACATTCTTAGGCTTGTCCACTCTGGTCCTGACAAAGGGTCTCCTCAGCCAGGGCTGGAGCTCTCTTTTGCTACAAGGACTGGCACCAGACAGGGCATTGAATCTCATCTCTTCAGAGCAGAGACCGGCAAGGACTTGTCCATGTGGACGAGGCACATTGTCAATGGCTGCCACAATTCTGCTGAGCTCATTAGAGAGGTCACAACCAGTGAGTACCAACATACCGTAAAACCTTATAGCCACATCCTTGAAGATCTGAGTTTCTTACACATGATTTGTGTACTCTCAGCACTACTAGGGGTGTAGGGCAAACTTATATGAGGTGTAAAACAATTATGGAGCAGTTGCCCTTGATTGTGTTATTTGTGAATAGGTGATTGAGATTTGTGAAAATTTGACAGGTCAAAATTGATGTACTGTATGCTTCTGTAATGTAAACAAGGAAGAAGCAATGAATGGAAAGCTATGGAAGTCTATCAGAGTCACAATTTATTTGCGTTTAAACAAGAACCTTTTTGTGTTTATACAAGATAACATTGCAAGTTAAAAGGATATACTGCCCAGATCATTCACAATCGCACTGTGTGGTCACACTGGTTTTAAGAGTCTGTTTTAACAGTGGGATATTTTGTCATTTGTATTTCAGCATTTGATATTATGTATTGTGCCGTTGAGAAACAGTGTGTAACCTTATGAATGGAGACTATGAGCCTTATTTCAATAATGACCTCCTGGAAACTGTGAACAAATTCAACTTAGATGGATACAATGTTTGTCTGTATTGAATAAATTCTCAAAATGTAGAGAAACACATGTACTCAGGTGCTAGTATGTATATAACTAAATGTATTTACTGTATTTCCAGAACCACAATTCTGTTTCACTGTTTCCCTACAGTAATTGTTCAGACTCATTATGTTCCAAAAGTTGTTCGTCTAAAATTTCTGTATGGCAAAAACACAATTATGCTTGTGATAATAAGGCTGTGATTTTCACTGGGGGGAAGACAAAATGCTGTGAAATTGGTCTGCTCTTTGTTGTTACAAGAGGGCTTTCATTCTCTGAAAGGAACCCTTTTTTCTGGAACGCACATTTTCTGAGAAAGAACACTCTTTGTATGTTTGTCCCTGGTGGCCCTTACAAAGGCATGCCGGAGTCTAAATGGAACAATCATTAACCACTTTGCTTTTCTCTGCTGGTTTGCTGTGTAACCTGAAATGTTTTTCACTTGCCTTCAGCTTGCCCTTTAAAAGCAAGCAGGCACAATCAGTACATTGCTTTCAGGCTTTAGGAGCGCTCTATCATGTACTTTTATTATTTTGTTCCTAGCAAGGTGAAGTAAAAGACTATTAAGAAGTTTTTTGGAAAACCAGCCCTTTTTGTATGCCTCTCCCCCAAAACAAACATTGACATTACGCTTTTTAAAATTGCTTATAGCACCTCCCAAGCGATCCAAAATACTTTACGTACAGGAGGGGATCCACTTTAATGACCACCAAAGTGCAGCCCCCACTTCTGATGTGCTGCGGCCAATTTCAGCAGGTGGAGAAGTGAGAAATCTCTTCACCGATTGAGGGAATTTTACCTCTACCTAATTGTGTCATCCACCCACTCAAACCAACCTCCTGTAACGCATATCTTGGGAACATAAGTTTGAAAAAAAAAAACCCCAAATGGACCAGCTTTTGAGTCTGTGCTCCAGTGGTTTGGTGTTGTTTCAAGAAAGTTACTGGAGCTCATCTGGAACTTAGCCAGACTCAGGCTTGCTTTCACTCGTGGCAGGAAAAAAAAATCATTGCAAATAAGTGCCAAGGGTTGTAAATTACCATCAAGAAAAGTGGTTGTTATAGCAACGGAACCTGAACTGCCTTCTTTAAGGAGACTCCAATGTTTTGCCACTTGTGGTTGCGGTTGAAAGGAAAGGTTGTTTGTAACATACTGAAAGAGCCTGTGTGATAGTCGACCTTGGTGGGAATTCATAGATAGGCCTAAAAATCAAAAGCCACAGTTTGGGCAGCTTATTCAGACAGTGAAAAACATGACCCGAGGAGATGGAGGTTACAGTGGCACAGCAAAGTACTGCTGGCAAAGCCGTTAGATTTATTAACACAGTAAATCATGAGACTGAGTTGTTATTCCAACTGTACCTCTTTCTTACCACCCCCTTTAAGTGTTATTTATACGTGTGTATGGTAGTGTGTTTGTGTAGTATGCCTTAAGGCTGTTTTTGAGTGTAATGCATCAAAGAGGCACTGTAAGAATTATTGCTATTTATTCTGGTTTTATTTTTAGTCATGTATTTTCTTGATTCTCATGTTTTATTTTTTTCCTTTACCATTTTTTTTCTGAGGCATTTTATCTTGATTTAAATGAAGAAGATGGTGACATATTCAGCATTCACAATGCCCAATTCATGTATACAATTTATTCAGTTTTCCATTTTGCTATAAAAAGTCAGGCTATCAGATTAAGAAAGAGTAAGAGTTTTCTTATTCTTGTTTGTATGGCTATATTTACTTATTTGCTTTTACCTTTGATTGACGGAATGTGGACAGTAAGGTGAAAATAATACTACAGTTGGTTAGTGTTTAAAATTAGCTATAACCCTGCTAGTTTAGACCGGAATGTGAACCTTAAGGAATATTTACAGCCCATCGTGAAGGCAGAGAATTACAGTATGTAATCTTTCTTGTGAAGTGGGAGCCATTTGTTTCAGACACCTTGAATATAGAACCAAGGATAATTCAGCAACTTAATTGAAAATATTCAAGAAATACTCCTCAAAATAAAATGTAGAGTTTCAGAACATCAGAAGAATCCCAAAATAAATATCCCCTGTTGTTTGATTTACTCAGCTCCTTGTTAGATTTCCTTCACTGAATTTCTGAACATGTATAACGTGTAATCTTAAAAACATCCATCAGTTAATTGTAAGAGATGCTGTGTGTTTGCCTAAAAGGTGCTGTCCTCTTCAGCTGTTACATAACACAGTGTACTGAAGTCATCTTTATAAACAGAAAAACAGAATAGGACTCTGTTAAGAAAAGCAAACAAGTAATGTAATTGAATTATCAATGCACAATTTGCAAAGCTCAGCTCTTTAACAGCCGGAGCAAATGTAATATAGATATTTGCTTTTCAGCACACTGATTCTCCAGCAACACAGGGGGGAAAAAAGCCCAACATATTAGATCATATATAATGTGTACAGCAAGAGAGAACAGGAAAAATTATATCAGGCAGATCTGCAGAGCAGAGAAACCAGATAAGGACAGTATCAAAGTGTATAATGATTTTCAGCTATTGTCTGGAGCCTCGCCTGAAATTCTTAATAACAGTAGTAGTCCTAAAATGCAGCTGTAGTGGGGGAGCTATGTCCACTTTGGTTCACATCTTGCATATGGCTTTTGAACTGTGAATTTATAGCCATTTGTGGTGCTTATGTAAAGGCAGATTGGTCAGGGAAAAACATCAATACAGTTTTCCTCCTTGTGCCAAACTATTCCACATGAGTTCCCAGACCACAGACGAGTAGTTGACTAACATAACGGCTCTGCTTTGTTGTTGTCTGTTTTCAGGCTGCGTGTACAAGAACCAGGAGTGCCGCCTGACCATTCACTATGAGCAGGGCTTCTCTGTGTGTGCGGAGCTGGACAATGGCTCCTCATTAAAACCACTGTTTCGTTACCCCTTTGAGAAGCTGAAAATGTCCTCCGACGACGGCGTGAGGATGCTTTACTTAGATTTTGGTGGCAAGGAAGGTGACATTGTAAGTATTTGGCTCCCCTTTCCAGTTTGTTATTTTGTCAGATTCAGTTTGGGATTCATTTTGCGTATTATCTGCAAAAGAACGCCAAAATATTGAGATATTTTGGCAAATATTGGCAAACCACAAAATCATTCAGTAGACGAAACATATTTGAATTTATATTTAAACCTAGATTTAAAGATTTAAATATAACTTAAAACTAGAATCTATATTTAAAATATTTTTTAGAGAAACATTTGATTTTTGTGCATTATCAACAAAACGTATCCAGAAAAGCAATTTATTGTATGAAATGTGGGTTTAAAATGCTTCGCCAGGACCTATAAGCTGATTTTCAGAACACTCGTTTCAATATTTAATTGTCTTAAAGAAGTCTAATATTTTATAATGTGCTTGTGATAGTGGTAGTTTTAATAATGATGGTAATTGATAGTTTTTTATAATTGTTTAGAAAAGCAGATAGTATACCGAGAATAGATGCCACCAAAATAACTAGTTTGACACCACCAGACACAGTGCCTTGCAGAAATATTCAGATCCTGAAAAGTAATGATAGCACAAGTATTCAGACCTTTTAATGTGGTAAATCTAAATTGATGTCTGTACACAAAAAATATGTAAATGGGCCACACAAGTAACCGAGTGACCTCTGTCTGTGTACAATAATACTATTAATAGCTGGAAGAGTTACAGAGCTCACTGGATGAAATGATAGAAAATATCCCAAAATTCTGGTCACTCCACAAAGGGGCATTATATTATAATACCATATATATAATATTATATGTATAATATTAGATTATAATATAATAGCATTATATGATATATTATTTAGCATTATATTATAATTCTGCTTCTGATAAATTTGGAAGCTTGTGAAATCTGATGAGAACGTATATAGAGCAAATTACTTGCAAATCTTAGAGGAAATCCTACTTCAGACTTCCAACTAGGATAAAAAATAGCCTTTACGCAAGGCAATGACCCAAGGCACAAGGCCAAAGCTACACTTGAGTGTCTTAAGAATAAGAAAGTGAATGTCCTTGAGTGGCCCAATAAAAGTCAAGGCTTGAATCCTATTGAGAATCTGTGAAAACACTGCTATCCATAAGCGATCTCCAGTTGAAGAATGGGTGAATATTGCACCAAACCAATGTGCAAAGTTGATAAAACGAAACCAAAAAGACCTGTAGCTGTAATTGCTGCCAAAGGTGGTTCCACCAAAATTCTGCATGTTTACAAAACCAACTCATATCAGTGTTTTCTTTTTAGTTTTGACATTTACAGTCGTTTACTGTAAGTTCTCTTATCCTTCAAAGTCTTTTGTTTGTGTATGTGCAAACATAATTTTGTAATTTCACCATAGGAGGTCTGTATATTTTTGCAAAGCACTGTACATGATGGGAACAAGGAAAGGTTAAACCAATACTAAAAAGTAGAAACAAGAAACAGTGTTTCAGCTGTTGAGCATTCTTCAGGTGAGAGCAGAAGGTGTGTATTTTCTTTCTGCTTTTCAGTGTGGGTTTAACCTTTATTTGCTCAGCTAAAGCCTAAGTCCACTGACCCAGCTCCCCTTTACAACTGTTAATGATATCCAGTTTGAATGTGGATTCAAATATGAATGCCACTTGGGGATTTATTTATCTTCTTGTATATTTTTTCAGCAGCTGGACCTTCATTCTTGTCCGAAGCCCATCGTTTTCATCCTTCATTCCTTCCTCTCAGCAAAGATTGCAAGGCTTGGCTTAGTAGCATGAAAGAGAGCCAATGTGGACTGTTGTCTCATCAGAGTAACTGTGAAGTAAAGTACATCGCTTGGGAAATGAAAGGCTCAAAGTCACTGCATACCAAACAACTGATCTCCGGTGGTGTCGTAACATCTACAATTCAAATGCCCACAATTCAAAATGGATTGTGTTCCAAACATTAATACTTAAAAATCTATTCAAAGAAAACAAATACAACACACAAACATTGTTCACATTGAAAATTTTCTTTATTGCTTGAAAAGTATTTCTTAAAAGAAGACGTCTTTATGGTCTATCACCATGTCAAAGGAAGGAAATTGTAACACTAGTCAGTTCTACTGGAATTATTTTTTAGCAATCATTCTGCTATGACACGTTTTTGGTCAATTTTGAGCACTAACCGTAATTTGTGATACTAGTGAGGCTAAAAACGAATTTAACTTTGTATGCTATCTCAAGCTTCAGCAAACAATTGTTACATTATCGGCAGCTAATATGAAACAAGAAGGTAATTTTTTTCTTTATTAATACGCTTAAATTATAATTGAAAGATTTATGTTTTCCACCTATTTACTGTGTTTCCTAGAGAACTGCACCGGCTTATATGTACTGTAAAGAATAATATAGCTCAGTTTTAGTTTAATTAAAGTTAACCTCTTGTGCTACCCCTTTACCAAGAAGCCTTTGTGACTGAGAATCTTCTTTTTCCAGTCTCCGGAAAGAGCCAGCATTGTTCTGGCACAGGTAAGGGGTGCACGCAGGTAAGGGGTGCACGCTGTATCTGAATTTCTGAAAGTCCTGTGTTAGAAAGCTTCTGTGAAATTGTAAATATTCCACTAGCAGGATATAAGCTCGTTCTTTCCAATTAAAAGGGGGAATCATGACAATTTACTCTTTCATTTAAAAAGCAGTCCAAAGTCAGCCATGCATGTTCTGGTGTGAACTACCCCATGTTGTTCATGAGAAATTTACAAGGAAAAGCCACAGTTAGGAAAGGACAAAAGGATGTTGAACATCTTCGCTGCACCAACCAAGTTTTTATATGTTAGCTTGTCATGTGATGGCTTCCCCAGCACTTTAAAAGCATCATGCATATGTTCTGCAGTTGCTGTAGTAATGACTGAAATAACTTTGGCCAATTAAAGAATTTCATGTTAATTAGAAGGTAGTTACTACTGAACGTTTTATGAATCTTTGTTAACGTGCCATTTCATCAAAGGATTTGAAAAGAAACAAATGATGCAGTTTATGAGAGATTTATTGTTTATGTACATTTGAACGCTTGGGAAGGTTTCTTGGTAATCAGCAATTACTGTTGGCAGCCAGTTGAGTTTGTTGTGGGGAGCAGGTGTTGGCAATACTCTGTACCAGTTTTGGGAGCCATTACTGGTCCAGAACCTTAACCACAGTGGGAATTGCAATGGATCTTGGGTGTTTGATTTACCTGCGCTCTCACCAGAGTGTGTCTCTAGCCGTAGTCGTGAGGACCTGATGTATCTGATTCAGCTTCATGCACTTGTCTGACAGTGCCTATTGTGTATGTGATGTCAACACACACCGCAAACAGGCCGAAATCAAGCACTAAGATAAACACTTGAAAGCACAATAAAATGTGTATAGCATTTAAAATGAACACAAATGTGCCTTTCAGCTTTCAGCCTTGATTCAAGTTTCCAAAAGAAGTCCACAGCCTGCTGGTGCCCATCAACGTCTAATGAGTGTGACTATTAAACATGCGTAATATGTCATGGCTGACACAGTACCCTACACCTCTCACCCCTGAGCATTGACGTGTGCTGTTTTTACACACGGTTTTATTAAACTGAAATCAAGAAGAGTTTTCCCCATACACTAAAGTGGTGCAATTTTATTTACAACTCAAGATGTGTGGTGAGATTTAAGTAGCAACATAGCTTCTTCATCAAATGAAGGCAAAGGCCACCACCTTAAGCAGTCCCTTCAGTTGTATCAGTAATTTAGCATTACTTTCCTTTCAGTGGTAGCTGAATCATGATGTCTTTATAGCTAGAAACTACATAAATACAACATGCGTATCCCACCTGTGCAGCAATGGAATGGTAAACAATACACATTATTATGGTGAACAGTGTTTCCATCTGTAAAAGTTTAAACCAAGGGTTTTCAATCCTGGTTCTGGAGGACTGTTGTGTTTGCAAGTTTGCCAGTTCTCTTTAGAGCACCGGCACTTCGAGCTCCAGGAAGCTGTTAAACTGCTCAGGTTGAGACAAAAGGAAGCTGATTCAGGTTAAGGACCTGGTTCGGCTTAACAGCTTTTCTCAACTCATCAGGTGCTGGGTCTCTGGTGGACCTGAAATCACACTAGCGCCTCAGGACCAGGACTGGGGAGCCTTGTTATAACTACTTCCAGTGAATTCCTTACAGATTCCTGGATTGTACAATGGAATTAGATTCTTTAAAGTGTTACAGAAAATGTTTTACATAAGGTATGATAGCTTCTTTTCCAGCAATAGTGCCATGTAATGGGTTTCTTTCCATACAGCAACACTAAATTGTTGTATATGTCATGATCAACCAGCCAGCTCTTTGGCCTGTTAAAAATCAATGCATAATCATGCTTAAATCTCCTGTTGTATAAAAAAAAAGATCTTAGTTTTTGAATTGCAACCACTTGAATGTAAATTATAGCTGACAGGTTTTAAGATTTACTGTGTAAAACTAACGCTACTGTCATAGATTTGTTGATCAAATTAGTTTTTTAAAATAAAACTAAACATTGTTATCCATTGACTGCTGTGGTTTAAACATACTCTTTTTGCCTTTTCCTTGTCTAAAAAATGATCTGTGGGCAAACATTTCTGCACTGTATATCTTGAACCTGGTAGCATCTATTAAAGAGGTACTATATGAAGGAAAAAGGGGGAGACCATTTGGAGGGTTACCAGGTGTCACTTATCAAGTGCGATATGCATGGGAATGTCATCTTGAGCTAAACTCCTTAAAAATGTCACAGACTGCACAAATCTCTCTCCTGGGAAGTAAAAGAAGGTTGCAAGGGAAACCATTCTTTGCGACTTGTTGCTGCCCCTGTCCCCCTTATTTTGATTGATTTTGAATTTTACTCTTCAGGAGTCAAATGTTGGCTGTCCTGTCATTCAGCCCATATTGCTTCTTGAGGGATTGTGCAGTGTCACCTTCAGTTATGTGGCTTCTTGTTTTCTGCCTTGATAAAAAGGAGTCATCTAGGCTTCCAAGTGGCTCACATAGTAAAGGTGCCCCATCTGCAAGGAGACTAAGCTCTCTGGTGCAGATGTTACTAGCTGACAGAGATTGGGATTTCCCAAGCGGCAGGACATACAGTAATTGTCTCATTGACACCAGGGGATTTACTCAACCAGGCCACTCTGAGCTCCCAGCAAAATACCAACCCCTATGAATCCCCATGTGCCTGCAGTCTTGCTGTAAAGTCAGTAAGGGATACACCTCCCCGTTCTGCACCTCCAGGTCTTTGGAGAGGTCAAAAGATGAAAGGCTGAATTCGGGAGCAGGCTGGAGAAACCTGTGCATTTCCACATCCTCCTTATGTGTGTACAGAGGTTGTCACTGTGAGCAGTGTGATGGCAGTAAAATAATGAGCATTTAAAAAAAAACAACAACAAAGGAGTCATTAACCATGTCAACCATTATATTCTGTCTGCTTCTGTTGCCTCATACCTCCTTGTCACTTTATGTTCTTAGACAAAAAAATCTTACACGAAAGGTGCTCTTTTACATTTATTAGCTATTCAGTGCAGTGTGTATCTGGAAAGTGGGCAGGAAAATCATTTCTTGATCCTATTCCAGGAAAACAGATGGTTCAAATGTTTGCTTTTGCTTGCCAAAATAACAATGTTGGAGACATTTGGTGACTGGAATAGTGTATAAGTTCATGTCAATAAAAGGTGACATTCTGATTAAATTTTGCGTTTACTGAATATATTGCCTGATAAACAGCCCCCTTTATGCCCTCTGAGATCAGGAATAAGGACAAAGCTCCTTTGTTTGACTGGAGGGCAAGCAAATGTTGGCACTCTCTACCAAATTCATTCTCTCACAGCCTACACTGCAATATGAATACACAAATAAGAGAATAACATAATAACTGTTACCATGCAGACATTCTTCAGACCTTTTTTGTTTGTTGCTGCCTTTTGTTCATTGTCTGACATAATTAAGAGGACTAAAACTCTTAATTGACACAAGTATACCAAGTCTGTCTTGTTACTGCTAATCTTGCTGAAGCTGGTGTGATGGTGTTGTGACATGAATCACTTGATACAAGGAGATGATTCCCTCTTGCCCCGTTTTGTGGATACTTAATCCTCAGGGTTTGAATTTGGGGCCTTGGATTCACCTTACAACTCTCAATACCCTGTGTGCCTATTTCACAGTTGAGTGCTCTCCATGTAATTGAAAGAATGTTTGTTTCATATTCTGCTGAAAGATGAGTGGGAAATCGTTTTCAACTAAGTTGCTGAATTTTCATTGTAGATAAAGGAAACAGAAAACTGCAATTGCCTGACACAGTGAGTTATATACGAAGTGAAATCGAAATTACCACTGGCAGATGTTTGCATTTCTCCAGATTTCAAGAGTTGCCAGATTTTTGCCATTCTTGAGATAATTTGTGATGGAATCATAGCCAATTGTCACATACTGTGAAATGCATACATACTGTATGAACTTGGTGCCTTAACTCTCCAAGGTGTGGATATTCTGAAAGAAATAAGTTTTTGTGTTTTACTTGGAACACATCCCTTAATACTCCCTCTGGTGTTTTCCTTACAGTGGTAGCCTCCTAGAATCAAATAACCTGCTTTTATGTGGGTACTTATATAGCACTTTTCTGGACACTCCACTCAAAACACTTTCCAGGTAATGGGGACTCCCCTCCACCACCACAAAAGTGCAGCCCGACCTGTACCACCAGTATGCTCCCCACACTCCAGCTATCAGTGGAGAGGAGAACGGAGTGAGGAAGCCAGTTCATAGATGGGGATTATTAGGAGGCCATGATTGGTAAGGGACAATGGGAAATTTGTCCAGGATGGCCTGGGTAACACCCCTACTCTTTTCAAGAAACACTTTGGGATTTTTAAATGACCACAGAGAGTCGGGACCTTGGTTTTACATCTCATCCGAAGGACGGCGCCTTTTTACAATATAGTGTCCCCGTCACTGTACTGGGGCATTGGAATGCACACAGGCTACAGGGAGAGCACCCCCTACTGGCTCCGCTAACACCTTATCCAGCAGCAACCTTATTTTCTCCCAGGAGGTCTCGCATCCAGGTACTGACCAGGCTCACACCTGCTGAGGTTCAGTGGGCTGCCAGTCGTGAATTGCAGGGTGATATGCCTGCTGGCCCCATTAGCAGATAGATGTATGTCGAGTATCCATCTATCATCAGAAACTTGTTAATTCCTGGTAAATGTTGAGGCAAACTGCAGCCTGTCCCTGAAGCACAGGGTGCAATACATCACTGAATAATTGATAGGAAAAACATTAGAGAAGGCTGAGATTGTTGGTCATGTCACAGAACATCATTCATTGACAACCAGTTTCTAATTTCACCTACTGTACCATAAACAAAAACACAAAAATGTGTCTTTTGGCACATAGAAGCATGAGTTGATAAAACACCATACAAAGGCTGGTTTTCAGTGGATGGCAAAGGTCATATTTCTTACAGGTTACATGACTGTACAGTATACACATGGATAAACCCTAGTTTTATATATTAATTCACAAACGCATAGATATTTCAGATGTATTCCACCCTTACAAATGCTTACAATTAACAGCATTTGTTCCAAAACAGTGAATCCTGCTTTTCCAGAATCATAAATTAATTGCTTTGGTTCTTTGTTTTATTTTCTATTTCCATTTTAGCCTTTTAGACAAAATGAAAGGACCTTAAGAATTCCTCTTGAATGTTTCTCATGCCTCAACATCTTGCTGTGGAGTTTTCTCAAAAATTGCACTACTGGGAAAGGGGTAAAAGGCTAAGAATCATAACTCAGGGACTTTTGTCCCGTTTATAATGTACATTTGTAGTTAATGTGAAAGACGTTTTTGATTCCCTTATGGCTAAAGAAGTGCTATTTAGTTCTCTGAATGGAACATATTGTATGTGTATTTATAATCCAACAGTTCAGTTGTTAAACCCATCATTTGGAACTATCTAGGACTTCTTCAAACAAAGCATGCTAAAGTAGTAGTGGTATTTTTATGGTTACAGATTGTCCTTAAAGCGCAGTGAATGACTGTTGGTTCTTACTATTGAGTACATTTAAAATATAAGAAAAGTTCCTTTCATTCTTACAAAAAATGTGATGGTAAAGTTTATATTGTTTGTAATATATCAAGAAATTATATTAATATATATTATAGTTATCATGGCAAATATGTCAAAGATGTCAGAGATTAATATGTACTGCAAATAATAATTCAGGTATTTCTCGCATGCTCCTAATTTGCATCTCTGTGTGCTTGCTTACAAAATAAATCTACAGTATGTATGTCTAGAAAACATCCATAATAAAATGGTGTCAACAATTTATCATCCTGAAAATTCAATAAATAAAACTATTTAAACAAGTCTAGAATTAGCAAGTACAAACTGATGCATTCATTTTTTTAACTTAATTTTATTCAAAACAGAAATGTTCAAACTGAACACTTTAAAGGATAAGAGAAGTTACAGTAAATGTCAGCAAAAACTAAAATCGGAAAAAAAATAGTTTCATGAGTATTCAGACTCATGAACGTGATATTTGGTGAAAGCACCTTTGGCAGCAATTACAACTGCAGGTCTCTTACCAACTTTGCACTCCAAGGTTGTGTCTTTTTTATCCGAATAAGAATCTACTTTATTGTCCACATACAGTATAATGCGAATTTCCCTTTGGCCTCACTGAGACACCAAATGGAGAATACAGTACATAAAAAATACAACAGATTTTACAAGGTGTAAACAATCAATGCAACATAAACCACAATAAAAAACAGTCCAAAAATACCAAAATTCAGATGTGACATGCATATAAATGTTGCCAATCCAGTGTTTCTTAAAAATGTTTTTGTAGCCTTTGGTACTCTAAAACATCACTGGTAGAGTAGTGAGTGTGAGGCATCATTTACTATTAACATTGCTTTTCTGCAAACACTCCTAGTATGCAAGTGTGTTGACTGGTTCTGTTTCTGACCAATAATTTTGCTGCCCATGCTTACAATTCTTGAGAGTTTAACTGTACCCTTAATATCATTTTAAGTAGAGAGGTTAAAAGAGAGCAAATTCTGTACCAGACCTGTGTAGGCCAACCTGTGTAGGTGTTTGCTTACATCAAAGCTTCGCAACCTTCTCAAGGTCATTTGGAAAAAATCTCTAGAAATGAATAAACTAATAAAAGCAAACACAATGACAGTTTTGTTACTTTACATACATTTCTTAATCAGTACCTTCAACTAGTCTCAAACGCATATTGTCACCGCTGTGTTGAAAACGTCTGTAACAGAGAAGGGCAATCCTATTGTATTGTGCTAAATGAAGGTTTTTAAAAAGGACAAAAGACTCCTTGAAACTCCTGTGCCTTTAATGTTATCTTACATTTTAATTACTGTAATTAAGATCTAAATGAAAAAGAAATTGTACCCCACTTAGCTGTACAGTGTGCTGGGAACATATCTTAAACTGTCTTTCAATGTTGATCTATGCCATTGGTTTTACTGCTTGAAGAATAAATAAGAAAAATGTACATAAGTAATTTTCTACTATTAAAATATGTAAAAGCTTGTGGTCTTTTTAGTTTTCAAAGTTTTCAAAAGAAAGCCACCAGTGCATCATAATTATAAAGCTTTAATAAAGAGTGTAAGCTAACAGTTCAAATAAAATGTAAGCATAAAATTACTTTTTGTGAGTTTTCATCTCAATAACATTTATTTAATTTTAGTCAACGATGAAACATTAACAAAACTGATCACTGGAAAGATTTGTACAACAGCTAGGAATCGGAAAACTTTAGCACAATGCTAAAATATACAGAAATAAAGTAGAAAGAAAAAAACAGGAATAAAACAATGCATATTGCACATCCAGATAATTATTTTATGGAACATACAATAGTCTTTTCCTATACAGAAAACACGTCTGTAACTACACAAAAGTACATTCCTAGAAACACATTGTCACTGGTATCAATGCCATTCATAAATGCTTACACCTAAAAATAGAGATTTTCTAATAATTTAAAAACCTACAGAAATCAGTATACAAGTGTTAGTAATGCATCCTGTCAGCTCCTGCTAATGCTATATTTAAGTAGGACAACACACTGCAAAAAGCACCGTCCACCACATGTATATCAAGGAAAGTTGTGTAACACGGAAACCACAAAGGGATTAGTGGTTTTCAAGTATAATGTGCAAAAACAAATGATCCAAATCATGAAAGGTGGGATGAGCTTTCCATCTATTTTTAGTTACTAGTGGCTCATTATTTCTTTGAAGCTTTTTCCAGGATCCAGTCAATTACCTGTAGTACAAACAATAAAAAAAACAAGTAAACTGCAGTGAAAATATAAATCATTTTTTTGTTTTCTTCTTATGATGCTCATGCTCACTTGAACCACAGTCAACCTTCTAAAACGCAGTCTTCACACACATATAGAAACATTGAAAACATCCGTCCATTTTCTAACGGTTTCACCCAATAAAGGTTCGAAGCAGGAGTCGGAGTCCATCCCAGCAAGCAATGGGTGCAAGGCAGGATACACCCTGGACAGGATGTCAATCCATCATGAGGCATGCACACGGACACAAACACACCCACACAAACACCAGGACCAATTTTCAGAGAAGCCAATTAACCTACCAGCAAGTGTGTCGACTGTGAGAGGACATGGAGACATGCGAGAAAACATGGCTTCAAAAAATTATTTATTTTTGACAACTTTTTAGTTACCATTGCTTACATATCCTTTAAGATGTGCTTGACCATCTTTAAGAAAACGCTGTAATTATAACTGCTTCTAATCAGCTTGTATAGATTTGGGAAAACTGACACCAGAATTGATCAGAGGTTCCTCTTTTAATCCCCCAGAATTTCCTCTCTTGCATACCTTTCCATTTCTTAAAAAAATGTGACATTTGCTTCAATGCTTCTTACTAGCATTGTTAAATGTCATTTAAAGTAGCTTTTTGGAGTAGCTTCTCTCGTACACTTGCGAGATGTTAGATTTTGCTCCATTGGAAACAAGCGGTTGCACTGGCCTTCACTCTCTGGGCAAGGGATATGATGGACTTTCTCCACCTTGAAAAAATTAGGTTTTCCCTCTGTGGCTCCACTGCAAAATTTTATTCTGCCTGTTGGCCCTTTTTAAATTTCTTGAAGAACCTGCAGCTCAGCCCAGTCATATGAAAGACCTTGAAGTCTATGACTTCCCTCTTCTGTTCTTTCACTACCTTTTTTTTCTTTTTCTCTTTTTCCTTTGCTTATCTCTCTCTTATCTTTGGTTTCCTTTTTTTCTACTCCTTTATTCCTGTTTTTATATTATTTTTGGATGAATACAGTTTGTATAGGTACCAAGTCTTTCATGCCATGATGATCGTTCACATTTATTCATTATTGTCTATGCTACCATGTAATATTCTTTCTTTTCCCTGAAAAAACAATAAACAAACTGAACATAAAGTAGTTTTGTGAATGGTATTTAGACGTCAGAGGTTTGGCAGGGGTTAACAACCACATATTATATTTTCCTTTCTGCAGCGTGAAAGGTCTCCAGGGGGCACAGCTCAACCAAACCTTTAATTTCAACTCCTTTGTTTCTCAGCCACTTTGGTTGAATTCTGACACTCCCAGACACTTTAAAAAAGACTGGTCTCTCATACAAATAGCAAAATCTATATTAGCAAAGTTAACAGTTTACTCACAAGTTTATTATAGAAAACATTTTACAATAGTCACTTTTTTGGAGGTTTTTGTGGGAATTAATCATTATTGGAGATGATTTCAGAAATAAAATGTGGGTTGGGCTGCCTTGGCCATATCACAAAGATGCATCATGTATGAAATCAATCAGCAAAAACCACAGGCATGCCTTGCGGCATTCCCTCGCTGATATAAATGTGTGCACATTTTTTTTTTAATCTGTTGTGTTTTTTGCTAATTTACCTGCTTTGCGTTATTATTTGCAGCTTTTTTCATTTCCTCATGGAGACCACGGGAGGTTTTCAGGTCCTGTTTAAAACAAATCAAAACCGATCTTGCATGCATAACTAACAACGAATCTGAAAACCACTTTTAATCCTAGTAATCAATGTCATGGTATTGTGAGGAAGAGCTGTTTAAATGTTAATCTGTGTGTACTTTGAAATACTATCTTTGATGTGCAAACATTTTTACGCCACTCTAACCCTGTCACATACTGTATATGTCAGTAACATTCTGTAAGAGTTAATTAAAACAAAGGATTAAGGTATTTGCATTCAAACTTTATGTTGGCTTGCATGGTTTGATAGCTTCCCTTACATGTACTAACCACCAGTGTCTGTTTGTACCATTAAGCATACTACTGTACACAGCATATATTAATTCACTTGAGTTTTATGGATAAAGAATTTGAGAATGTTTCATCTGACTTTAGAAACTCTAGCTGTTAAAATAAAATAAAAAAAACTATTCACAAACCTTCAGGTAAAACTTTGATATTTCAAAAAGGCGTTGGCTGCAGGCTTCAAAACTCTCATGGTCCTCTCTAATCCCATGATGACTCAGTGTTTTTGCAACGACCTCTTTCAGCATCTAGAACAAAAACGTGGACTTAAAGATATGTCCTTAAGTCTTCAGACACCTTAGTGTTCAGATTTTCTCTTCTTTACATGTCATCATAGTAAACAACTTGAAAAACATTTTTAAACAGGCAGATACTGACCTGAGTAGACAGGACTCTTTTCCCCAATTCCCTTCAGCCACACATATCCATAATAAAAATGAAAGTGCTTCCTTGCCTGAATGTATTGAAATATATCATTCTTTCTCCCCTGTTAGGCTATTGGGATAGACTGCTTTCTAGAATTACAGAACTCATAAGGCAAGGGATAAGAAAGCAAATGAAATTCTCAATTCAATACAAAATCACAGAAAACATGGCATGCTCCTGTTTTCCACCATCACGAATTTCTTACAGACGATTCTCCTCTTTTTTTTCCCCATTGGAGTGATAAAGGACTTCACCGTGATAAGAGATTCAATAAGATTGCCATCACTTCTCACAAGACTTGGAATCCAGGTTCCTCTTTCTTTTTGCACTTACATTGTGCAAAGTATGCATAGGCCGTACCTAGGAAGTGAGGCCATCTATGCACCCAATGCGTAATACAGTATGTTTAAACTTTCGGGCAAAACTAATGGATTAGTTACCTGTTTGTATAGCTTATTTCATATACTGGAAACTACAGGAATGGTCACTATAAGGAATATGGACTTGAATGTCAAAAACAATAGTTGGGATAATGTAAATTCTTCTTTCAAAAATCTTAATCCAATTATTCACATACAGTAACATTCTGTCACAATGCATGTGACGTCTCAAAGACGATGGCTGCATGCTTTGAAATGGTATCTTAAAAGAGCAAACATACTATGCCACTCAGAACCCTGTCACAAATACATCACTATGAAGCTAGATTCTCATCTCTTACATACACTTACTTTTATGCATACCTACATCTGGGGGTGCTGCACCCAGAGGCAGTTAAGCTCTGGAAGGGGTTATCTTTTCATAATTGTCCATTATTGTACGTAGGGATAATCTTTGTTCTCTCCTGTACTGTTACTAGATGATGACTCTGATCTTGGCCTCTCCCAGCAGCAGAATTTAATCTGGATGAATGTTTTGACTGTGGTTAAAAAGATGCTGGGGATGTTTTGAGAGCCCTTGCACTCCATCCCCTGGCATTACTGAATCCGGACCTATCGGGTTTATCGTGCTCTCCACTGCTCAGAACCATGGTGTGAGGCCCAGAGTTCTGCTGTTTGTTTTTGTATTGTACAGTATATGGTTGGAAAGAAGAAATACATGGTACATCTAAATGTAAAGTGAAAGACTGTGCTATATAATTTAGAAGTACTGTAAGTGTTGTGACCACAATGCTCTTTTTACCACTAATACATTTACATGTCAGACTGTGTGATGGAAGTGATTGTGAGGTTTATTCTTATTTCCAGATTAAACTACTCAATTTAAGATTGCGTTTCTTCATTTTTGTTAGTGGTTTTATGTAAATCTTAGCTTAGGACATGTCATTGCGAAACTATAGCACAGTCGTCATGATTTCTGATTAGACCAATAGCAAGTTTATTACATGCTACACTAGCTGGTACACCTCTTCGCACATCTGCTTCTTTGTGAAGATGTGCGTCATGAAGACAGCATTGCATTGTCTGGGAAAGAACAGGATTCAAAGCTGTGCACTGCAAACTATGTTGATCTCTGTTATTACACAGTGAATCACAGTATTAAATTTCCTGAGACAAGGGGTTCCTTACCCGAACATGCTTCTGTGACCGTGACTCTTTTGTGGGCTGTGCCGTCGCCTGGCCCTGGGTCTTTCCCTGACTCTGACATTCTCTGCCCGTGCTGGGACTGCGCTTGAGGGGAGCCGAGGCAGTCGACACAGATCTCTGAGGCTGATCTCTCAGAGAGCGGGCAGCGGCGCGGTGTCCACTGCTGCCACCGGGATGAGAAAGAAGGGAGTTGCTGCTTTCTGATTTAGGCAGCCTGCAGTGGAAATGAAAGTTGCATCATGCAGTTTATTGTTTATTGTTTAATGCTGACTGCTAAAAAAAGGGAAGAATACATGTGCTACAGTAGCTGGGTTAATATATGGAGTCATGTCACTTTAAAAAGTGCAGCCCCAACATATTAATGAAACTCCTGCACAACAATCAAGCACATGAAAGCATAGTAGTTCAGGTGGGTAGCTGCGTCAGCATGCGTAGGCTGCAAAGGAACAAGTAATAGGTTTATTCAATGCTGAAAAAAAGAATAAAGAGAACACAACGTTTCGGCCGTGGAGCCTTCTTCAGGTGTGAGCTGAAGCAGGCTCCTCACACCTGAAGAAGGCTCCACGGCCGAAACGTTGTGTTCTCTTTCTTCTTTTTTTTCAGCATGGAATAAACCATTACTTGTTCCTTCACAGGAAAGCATAAGCAAGCAACAAAAAATATTCACAACTAGCAGCACGTTCACATGCAGTATTTAGGGTCTGAATGCAGACACAAATCCATACATGGAAGGTTATTCCGGAGATAACAATTGATACCACAGATCGTTTTCTTTCGATCAAACAGCTAATGCTAACATGTTAGGACTTTATATTTCATTCTAATATAAAGAGTTTAGAGCCATAATGATTCCGTCCCCCTGGACACTTCATTCAAGTCATTTCAGAAGCCAATTGTAATCTGTTGGTTTTCTGAAGAATAATTAATACACCCATCCCTTAATTTACAAATGTAGTTTATTCAAAAATGGTCTGAAAGGTGAAGCTTACGAATCCGGAAATGAGCTTCCCATTAATCTATATGTAACAACTTCCGATTTGTTCTGAGAGCTACAAATCATCCCCCATCCCCCATGCTTTTATCCTAATGGAGCCCCGAATCGTAAAAGTGAGAACGCTGATGTATATGATAATTACTCTTTTTACTGTAGAACAGCAGTTAACTAGATATGATAAGACATAAAAATTCTATGACCTTATGAACTGTGAGAGATCGGGCTATGAGGATGGGGGCCTTCCTCTACTTCCTGTACTTTCGTTATAGTGACAATCTCTTTGAAACGGAAAAATAGTTAAGAAAACTTGTGCTTCTTTATAGTGAAAATTCAGAAACTGGACATTTGTAAATTTCGTCAATTGAAGGAAGGGGTTATAGAAAGCTCACTGAAATAAGACATGGTTAATACATATAAATGGATATCACATGTACGAAATAAAAATTATTTTTTCCTGTAACAAGCCTAAAGATTAATCATGTTATAATACATAAAATAAAAAAAACAGCTTATGAAGTTCTAAACATTAAGCAATTTATAACTTGCATACAAATGTAGCTCTTTTTACTAATATATGCCCTGATAAAGCCATACATCATGATATAAAGCAACTACAGTTGACAAATGAGCGATGAGGGGTGGGAGTAAATAATCTGTATTGTTTTTTTTATTTAAAAGTAAAAAGTCAAACAACAGACTATCTGCTGATAAAGGGTTCTTTAAACAACCTATATTTTAGAGAAAATAACTGCAGATCATTTCAGATCCTGAGGGTATAAAAAGCTATTGTTACTGGAAGAAAACCAACTCTAGCAAACCTTATCTTATCCTACAGCTCCCATGCAATTGCATTTTTGAGTTGAAAATTATATCCATAAAAAAGAACATTTTAGTCATCCTCTCATTGCTATTGTACGTAATTCAAGGCTACAATAGTAAATCTATAGTTGTAGGAACAAGGGCCTGGTTTATTCATTCAGAGAAAACAAATATGCATTTGACTTACTTCCTGATATAAACTCAGCTCATGCAAAACGAACTAAAAACTTCATTAGTACCTGACAAAAATGAATGCATAATCTGGGTTATTGCTTTTTGCACAGACTGAACTGTGCAATATTTAACTTAAAAACTTTGGTTCACTGAGCAAATGTAATTCACTTCCCAATGTTACTCCTTTGAAACCTTTCCCAGGAAACTAAGCAGCAAGAAATTCATTAACAGGAGAATGCACAAACTTTATTAATAAACTGCTCCTTGATGCCGTAGCATGTAGAAAAATATTTGTATCCTACACAGAACTACTGCTTAAACATATTGGGGTATGGAGAGTATCATGTGGCATCAGGACTGCAGCAAGCTCTGATTTCTCCTTTATTCCAGTTAATAATTGCATACATACAGTATTGAAACTTGCATAATTGCTGGCTGCACAAAAAGAGAAGAATGTGTTCAGATTAGATGTCATTCTCACTAAAGATTGTCTCACTGTAAAACTATTTTTGAGGTAAAAGTTTTTGCTTAATGGAAACAAAAACTTTATTCTGAAGAAACATATTACGTTAAAAAGCAAAGCATTACAATTTCTATTCCAAAAGCACCCAATGTTTCTGGGTCACAGACTAGACTATAAAAGAAGTGTATTTCAATCAAATTATTGTGCACTTCAATAAAACCTAGTGTTTCTTATTCACAGATAAATGGGCTATGATGTTTGTAAAGACAATCACTGTAGATAAGAAAAAATGTACAACTAAGCATCCTAGGCTGAAGACTACTAAAGCCAAATTATAGCAACATTTTCAAAACCTGTGCTTTTCCAAACATCTACAATTGATCTATGTAAGTATTATATCTACGACAGCACATTTATACTTTTTGTAAGTCAATTTGTATTAATATAAGGACCATTATTACATTACAGAGCTTATTGCTAGAAGAAATGACTTGGCTAAAACAAGGAAACAGACTGTTTGGCATTCTGTTTTCAGCAATCCAAAATACCTGACAAACTGACCTTTTGACAATTTACTTTTGTGTTTGAAGGCTCTCCTTAAAATCCAATCCATGATTAATTTTTCTGCTTCACAGTTTTTTTTATGTTTTGTTCCTTGTTATAACCTGTATTATTCCACACTGTCCTGTTGTGTATTAACCTGCCACCACTCTGTTTACAGCAGGCCTGAAAGAGATTAACACCTGAAGCAATCTTCATTAATCTCCACCCGAAGGCTGTGTGAAGGTTACCTCTTTCGTCTGGAGAGCTCCCCCTTCTGCTCCAGCTGAAAAGCCTCTCCTTCGGGGACGCTGCCGGGCTCGGAGAGGACCGCAGGGGAGGGGGCCGGGCTCAGTGCGAAAGGCACGGGGCAGGGCTCCTTGGAGCACGTAGTGTGGGTCTCATAGCGGATGAGGCGAGACTGAAGCTTGCCGAAGGCTTTGTCTCGATCCAAAGAATTCCGGTCATCCAGGCAGAATCTAAGAGCGGGAAAAAAAGGTGCTGCACTGAGGCTTGGACATGAATTCATTGAGTCCGGTTGGCTTTTAAAAAAAATAAAATTACGAACATACTCAATTCCGTGATAGTGGGAGTTGGCTGCCTTGTTAAAAGGCAGATGCTGCACTTTCCGGGGTGTCAGGTCACAGGATATCTGGAAGGCGTTTTCCCTGAAAGTATAAAAGATGGGCTTGAATGCGATGCATCTCAGGTACTGTAGCTTTCAAGCATTAAAAGAGAGACTGGAGAAATAATAAATGAAACACACGAAAATCTGTTTCACTTGGAAAAAAACCTGGAAACGTGCCTAGTACAATTGCTCAACATATGCCGTTTTTCCTCAACTTAAGGAAATGTAACAAAATCAGAACAATGCATAATGATGAGACTGGCCTGCATTCAGCCCAGCGAGCTTAGATGTCCTGGCTATCTGAAAATACCAGCTCAAAATGGTCGTAATTTACAGCTTTGACTTGGATATAGTGTTTGAACTGCATTTGATTTTGTTAATTACTTTGCAGTTTAAATAAGATAACCTCATGAAATGGAAGACTTCAAGCAAAGTCATGAAGTAAACAGAAATCTAGAAATCTTTGCAAGGACATTGTTTCACTACTAGTGAACTGTTTAACAGGCTGAAAAGAAATGTGGAAAAGACGCTCTGCAAAGTCTGCTGCACTGCACACACTGCATCCCATCTCACAGCCAGAATCGCTAGACCATGATTTTTGGCAGCAAGACAACTGCACATGAAACTCTTTTCTTGTGAGCCTCAGAAGACTAACTGAGCTTACAATAAGTGAAGCAGCAACTTCTCAAACTGACAACTTAAATGTCTGTAATTGAGCAGCTAAAAAAAAACGTAAACTGTTTCCTAGACTCAAGCATTTGGCCATGAAAAACGGTTAAGCTTCTGGTGTTGACTAGTTCAGTCTTTGTACACAGAAAGGCACTTTTTCGTTCCTCTTGAAATTTGTGATTAACTTTTCTATAGTGAAAACTTATCAAAGATTATAACCTAAATTATACAGATTATATATTACGTTATATATGCCTAAATTATACAGCTTCATTGACCATTTCTTTTTAAAAATTTGTCATCATTTCATCATGTCATTTTTATCATTTTAATAGGTTCTATATTGGTGAGAATCTATTCTATGTGATAAGCTTTAAGTTAAAAAAAAAACAGAATTATACTGCCTAATATTTTATTTTGCATAGGAAAAGCTATAGAACTTTTTGATTTTTTTTTAAATGAATTTAATTTCTATAACTTTCCAACCACTACTGTTGAACTGGGGATTAAGCAATGAAGTTGGACAAGCATCGTAAATTTGCGATTGGACAGTCATGACAGCACATATAATGTCACATAAATGTTATTAAAGAAAGTGTTTTAAAACATTTCCATTTCCAGGTCACTATTTGCTCCATCTTATACAGCAAGCTTTCTATAAGCTTCTCAGTCGTCGCTTTTGAAAAACGTTTCCCTCCTGGAAGTGCAGTAGGGAATCCAATTAGCTTCCCACGCTACTATAAAGCAATACTCCAAACCCACTGTATTTCGTCTTACTCAGCCTTGAGAAGCTTTTTCAGAAGCTGCTATTGTCATGAGCTCATATTGTCCAGTGCAAAACACCAGAAAGAAGACTTGAACAATTAATAATTTTCAGTTACTTAATACAAAAAGAAAAAAGAGAAATTCATAAAATATAAAGTATGACTTTAAAAGTGAACCTAGGGGGGATGAACAGCTGTCAAGGGACGTCTATAATAAAGTGTCTTTTAAAATGTTTGAAAGTGCACCCTAAGGGGTGCACAGTTCCTGCTAATATGATATGCAAAGGAGTAGGCCATTTTCATTCCTTGCTTATTATTCATAATTAAGAGTGCAACACTCCAATGTTCAAATATGTTCCTTGTTTTCCATTTCTTTTTGTTACTTTCCTCCTATATCACGAGGTCTTCAATGTACTGTTTCATTAGGACTAGTAATATAATCAGCATGTAATTTTTGTATTTTCACATTTTGATTCATTTTGTTCTGCTATGTATTCATTTATGCAGAGTTTAGATTTGATATCGTCACCACCAGAAAGCCAAATGGAACGAGAGGAGGTGATGTAGTGTCCTATCAACATCTGATATTTGGTCTTTGCCCTCTCAAGAGCAAAGCTGTTAGGTATCCCAAACTTGTGACTCAAAAAGCAGTTTGAGGGCCAAAATGGTTGATTTAATTTTTATCCCAAACTGGATATAGGAAGGCCAGCAAGACATAAGTGATTAATAACCCGATAAATGTTAGATGCCACATCTGATAATACAGACTACCTAAACCGTTCCTAGTCCTAGATAAGGAATGTATTAAAATGTTGTGGTACACAGGCACTTGGACAAATTAACTTAGCAAAAGGAAGTATTTCCTATCCCAGCTATTATCTGATTTTGAAATCAGAAATGACCTTATGTGAAGAGTATGATGTTTCTCTATTTAATTATCCCTGCTTAAACGTGTTTTTAATGCTACATGCTATGAAACCTAAAGTATTGTCTTGTACTTTAAAAAGCTTCACTCTACCCCCTCTGAATCTGTAGAGGCTGCAGTTCTCCCGTAGGTAAACCCTCAGGCGTAAAGTGTTTCAGCAGTTCTTTAGCATCCAGCATGGCAGAAGGACATCTTTGACTGTCCTTTGGACCCAACAAAGAATCAGAAGAGCCAGATAACAGAACAGCTGTCCTAGAGAAGAAAAACAAGAAAGCACACTGTTCAGAAAATTGGTAGCAACAATACCCAACCTTATCGCTTATAACTAACTGGGCACAAGCAGCAATCACTTTATTATAAATTAATTAAATTGTCTATTAATAAAGCTAATGATTTAGAATAAACCTGGAAAATGAAGCTGGGGAAAAACTGGAACATAACTACTTCTTAGCAACCTAGTTAAAAAGAAACTTGGATAAGCACGAGAGATGTTCAGTTAATACACACACAGATCATTTAGCAGATCAGAAGCATAGAACATGTAAGAGCAAAGTCTGAAATGATCCATTTTTAAATGTTGGCAATATTAACTTGGATTCCTTCTTTATTGTTATCCGTAATTGGAAAAAAAGAAAAAAAACACACTTGCAAATAACATTGTGGTGCAACGCTGCCTTTAAGCTTTTTAAGTCATCTTACTCAGTCAGCATTTTTTGCAAAATGTTTTGCAGTACACCATAAAGTATTCCAAATCAATTTTTTTTGTGATACATAAGTATTCCAAGAAACCTAAAGCTATCTTATTATGAAACACATAATTTGGGAAAAATCAATTTGATTACAGACGTATCTTCTTGGTAACTATAATGTGAAATTCTCCCGGCTCAATGCTTGAAAACTGGTAAACTAAAAAAACGTCAGTTTGGACTTTCTCTGATTTGCATAGCTAAGCCTGAACTTTCAAATGCTCCAATGTCCAGTAGTTACATATATTTAAGCTTTTAAAACTATTTTTAGTTATCTCTACCTTGTTCTGAACATATGCAGGAATATGCAGGACCTCTGGCTTCTCAAGTCCCAATACATGATCTTTAAATCTGTATTCCAGTATTCACTAATAGTCTGAAACAGTGGTTCTTAACCTGGAGTTCATGTGAATAGTGTATTAAAATAAGTAAGTCATTAAACAGCATACAGTAATATAACAATTTCAGAAAGGCGCAATAAAGAATCATTGTGAAAAACAGCACCACCCAGTGGCTATTTTATTACAACAGACGTTTGTATTTTCAAGTCCTTCACCTGTGGCAGTGAACGAGCTTTTACCGCAAAAAGAGCTAAAAAAAAATGGAGCGGCGTCTAACCGGAGGGAGTTTAAAACTCAAAGTCAAGCCATCGAAAATGCTACGACATCAACAAACCAGGCAGAGTTTATCTGCAAACAAAGCCAATGGAGTTGTTTGAGAGAAAGCTATAGGAGATAGGAGGCCAGAAGTCTATCGTACAGAAAGCCGCCATAGTAAATGAAAAGGCACTTGGGGGCTCATTTGTTATCTCACATTGTATTGTCAAGACTGGGAAAACATCCACAAGAGGTGAGACTTTTTTTTTTACCATATGCAAAGAATCTGTTTCCACTATATGTGAGGAAAAACACAGCAGACCATCGTCAAACGAGACTGCGTCGAAAAGCATCGAACGCAAGGCAAACAATGTGTTCGAGCAAGTTATTTCCAAAGTTAAATCCAGTGTCTCCATGTTCAACTTCAAATTCAACTGGATGAGAACACGGATGTGGCAGGAGAGGCACAGGTACCGTGTTTTTTGTTTTGCCATCTTTGCCACGTGAAACTGGTGAAAAGCTTTTCGCTGTGCTGGACAGAAATGGGCAGAAATGAGTGTGCTTCTACACTGACAGAGCACAAAGCCTTGACTGGGAAACACAGTCGGCTGTTGCCTCAAGTGAAGTGCACGCATTTGCTCCACTCGCAGTGAGGACACATAGTACGAGAGGGAAGCCCCTATAGCAAAGAGGATGCCCTGAGAACTCAATGTGATGGATGAAGTGGTCCGCACAGTCAGCTCCATCAAGAACAGTGCAAGATGTCCTCAGCTCCTCAAAACTTTGTGTCAACTGATGGGAGCAGAGCACCAGCAGCTGCTGTATTATACCTAAGTGCGCTAGCTGTTCAGGGCTAAGGAGACGAGGTGAGGACTTTTTTTTAATCAAAGAAAAAAATCTCAGCTAGGTAATAGCTTTTCAGATTGTGATACGTCTTGCCCTTTTAGCCTACCTACAGACATTTTCGGCCAGCTGGATGACATAAATGCAGTACACCAGGAAAAAAAAAATTCCACTCTTTAATCTTTCCAACAAAATTTTGGGGTCGATCACGTTATGGCAAATGCAGTTTCTCAGTGACAACTTTGAGGTTTTCCCATTACTGGATGAGTGAGTTTTTATGTGAGAACAGTGTGCCAAAAGCTGACTTGTAGAACATTATCGGGGTTCAGTATCGGGGTGACTGTGAAGTCAGATTTACAAGTAGTTTCCAGAAAACATGGTGCTCTACCACAGACGGATGGATCAGACATCCATATTCAGAGACAGCTAACAGGATTACTGCTTGAATTTGAAGGATATTGACTCATCTCGCTAATGATTTGGCTCAGAAGCAGATATTTGCAGAGAGCCCACTATCTGACTTTCGGATCTCAGAACACAGCCTTGAAAAAGATTCTCCCATTCACATCAATCTATATTCGTGAGTCTGACTTTTCAGCGCTAACTTACATAAAGAACAATTACAGAGTCCCTCTCAAGGTTGAAGATGATTTGCGTCTTCACCTTAGCCCAACAAATCCCTGACTAGAAGTCTTTTCTGCCTCTATGCAAGCACTACCATCTCATTAAGCGAGTAGTTCCCCCCCCCCATTATCATTATATTTTTAATTTGATGTGAAAATTTGTTGTTTTTTTTTTGCTTGGCAGGGATGCAACACCTTTTCACTCATCCAAATGGGGACTCCAATAAACTCTGTAAGCGGGGCATCACAAACGCAAGTGGATGAACTCAAATTGGGGGGCACATGGAAAGTTGTGAAAGGGGAGATCAAAGTCATGTGATTTTCATTCTTCAATCCTCAAACCGATGAAAAAAGTCAGTGTGCAAAGTGAGCATCTGAAAACCATGCATCTTTCCAGGTTCTGATCAGATATTGTGAGTTGTTGAGAAGTGGGGAAGTGCGTGAACTGCTTGTTACCACTTTGACACAATAAATTACCAATGAGTCAATGGAATGCTGTTGTTTCAACGGTATTTATATAACCATTGTAAGTGACAACAGGTAATTAAATTCTTTTCTCCTTTTCGGTAGAAGAAAAAAGCTAGCTGAGAGTCACGGGGGGTCAGACAGAAATGCTAGAAGCACTGGATCTAGCCTGCAAGCCGAATTTAGTTGAATCATTGCCAAGGGATGAATATATCTCTTAATTTTAAGATTTTATTTTTACACTTGGTTTGTAAAGCATTTTAAACTGCTATTTGCATGAAAGGTGCTCTATCAATAAACTTTATTATTTTTTATTATAAAACTCATTCATTACCAATTGTGGGTTATCATTCAAGCCATATTAGGTCCAGTGATAAGAATCCCCCAAATGAAAAATGACGCATAGTTCACCTTGACTTCTGACGGATCTTCTCCTGGTTTTCAAAATTTTGAAGGACTCTTCTCTCAGGCCATTCTAAACGGGTCATGTTGCGTGCATCAGATCCTAAAAGAACTTCTATAGTTAAAATTCTTCATATGGGATTCAGCTGAGAGAAAGTACAGTTTAACATAAACCTTCCAATTCTCAGAACATTTTTCAAGTCTTTTAAAGGACTAGAGAAAGTTCTGTCCCGCACATCTGATTCTTATGTTACCTATATTATTATGTTATATAACAGTTTTCTAGACTCTCCACTCAAAGTGTTTTACAGGAAATGGGGACTCCCCTCCACCACCACCAAGTGCAGTCCCCACCTGGATGATATGACAGTAGCCAAAATGCACCAGTACGGTCATCACACACCAGCTACCAGTGTGGAGGAGAACAGAATGATGAAGTGAATTTATGGATCGAGATTATTAGGAGGCCATGATTGGTAAAGGCCAAGGGGGAAATCTGGCCAGTATGCCAGGGTTACACCCCTACTCATTTCGAGATAAACACTTGGATTTTTAATGACCAGACGATTTCAATTTTATTTCTCATAAAAAATATGGCGCCATCACTATACTGGGGAATTAGGACAAACACAGACTGACAGGTGGACACTCTCTACAGGTCCCACTAACACCTTTTTCAGCAGCAACCTTAGCTTTACCAGGTGGTCTCCCATCCAGGTACTGGTCAGGATCACACCTTCTTAGCTTTAGTGAGTTGCCAGTTGTGAGTTGCAGGGTGATATAGCTGCTGGCAAATATATTTTAAGGACCTTTTTAATGCTGCTATAGTATTAGAAACTAAAACAGAAAGTATCTTTTAACATTCGCTGATGCAGCTAACTACAGAGTACCCTCACTTGCTTAGGTAAAACAGTGTGATGGCAGTGACCTTCATTCTCTGGAGGTCAAAATGCAATCCCCCACCTTACAGCAGTGACAAATGACAAGAGACATTAGAGCAGATGGTTGTCATTCCTATTAATGGCATAGCTTGTAACCACAATTCTGTAAAAATACATTCTTGCTTGTAAGAGTGAAATACATATTATATAAAAATATATAAGGTTGTTTTGCTTATTTTGTCTAGTAATATCAGACTAAATGATACTACCTAGTTTATACTGCAGCATTCCAAATTTTAATTCACCGAGAATATTTGATGGTATATTGACTATAAATTGTCTGAAATAAATGCATCAGCTAAATAAATAAGATCAAACCCAGGAAATTAAATGAATCGATTAATCATACCAGGGCGTCTTCTGACACGATTCACTTTTTGTTCTTCAGTATGAAGTACTGTTCTGGGTATTCTAGCATCGTGCATCTTTAGATATTGTTCTCTGGCAAGAGTCAACAGAGCTTTCAGATCATTGACTGGAACTGATGCAGGTTTCTTGTTTTCTTCTCTCCTTCCTATAAAAAAAGAAGGTAATTACAGGCGTGTTTCTGCCCCTCCCTCTCTAAACTGCCAACTTCTCTTCTGCACACAACCAAGAGAGGTGCTGCAGGAAGAAAAGCTTTATTTACGGGAGTCCTAGTGATTATCCCCTTGATGAGGTGTGGGATATGATAGTGTTCAAATACAACTTAAATCAAACTATGTGGGATGGATACATATGAATTAGCCAGGTCCAGTCAGACAACTGTCAAGACTCCTCTATTGAACTTCACCTCCTGGACCATCTGACTTAGGACCCCTGTGTGCTCCAAGCATCCTGAAAAGCCTGGGATTGCTTCTTTGTGTTGTTCTCAGACACGTATGTTGTCAACCTAAGAAAATCTTGCTCTCCACACTAAGAAGTGAGATCACTTTAAACTGCCCAATGGATGAGGGGTTCTTCTCCTAAGGAACAAAGCATCTCCCTGCCCACTTCCAACTTGATGGGATTGTCCCTTTCTTCTATGCAAGTCTCAAAGCAGCTTGTTCATCTGATCGGCTTTCGGCAGATAAAATATGAAAAAGCCTTTAAAAATGTGTTGCTGTTTAATGTATTACTGTAACAGCTTTTAGAACATTGTGGCATTCGAAATCCTGCTCCACAGGAGCTAAAGACAGAAAAATAAACTGCACGCATGGGAAGATGGCATACAGGTAATGAAGTGCCAGAACTTTGGAGCAAACAACTTACTGAGCCATTCCTTCAGGGCCAGTGTCTGCACATTGGTCAGCCCCCTTTCCCTTTGCATCAGCTGGTCTCCATGAAGACAAGGCATTGACCCCAGCCAGGTGGACACATCTGTGCCAGTTAAAAAGAAAAACACACGATTGATTGTACAATACCTTTTGAAGAGAAAGATACACCTGTTTGACCTATGACATTAGCACTTCCTGTGCTTGTATTCACTTTTCCCTTTGATATAATGCCAGGACAATAAATAATAAAACTCGTGGCCTCTATGCTCTATATTAAAGTTCACCAAATGGACCCTCACTGTGAGTTGAGCAGAGAGCATGCAAGGACTGTAGGAATGTCTCTTAATGATTACTAAACCATTTCCTCTGAATAAAAAATAGGCACATCCAGAGTCTCAATATAAAGAAGCCCTGCTGTTTCTTTTACTCACTAGAGAAGTACACTTGCAAATGACCTTGATGTTTTTTTTATTGATTTGTATTCTAAGGTCTACAAGGTTCTCATAATGCTCCAGGCACACAGGCAGCAAAACACATTTTTAATTAGTACTTACGTATAGATGTTTTGGACTTTTTATGACAACATGTACACTAGAAGTCAAAATGCGCCTGATTTTTTAAAGAACCATAGCGTAGTACTTTTGAACGTAATGTGCTTATTAAATTGTTAGGGGACATACAAAGAGCCAGAAGTGAAAAATGGATTTAACTTGCTACTGTTTCACAGAGTATTTTCTTTCTGAAAGAATGTTAACATTAGTAAAAATGAGTGAAAAAGAATCCTAATTGTCCTCCTCCAGACCGAAAACAAGCACGCTCTCAAGGTAAAAGAGCAACGTATTACTCATCTGCTGTAAGTAACATGTAATAAATGTAATTATTTGTTTAACAAGAAAGAAGAAATGGCATTATCTAATGTCATACAAAATACCCTCAAGTTCTTAAAAGTCCTGAGACAGTCTTTTCTTCGACAAGGGAATAATTGAATCAGACCTGATGTAATACTAATACTGATGTAATCTGAGTTTATAAGAAATATGAAGAATGCAAATTACTTCTATTTGAGTAAGAAATTATTAATATCCTTCCACATGTACACTAATACAATGCCTTTCACTATGCTAATTTCATTATTTCTCATTTGAAGTTAAAACTGATTTACTGGAGTTCATTTCTAAATTTAAAGTTGTTACTTTCTCTGCCTTCAGTGATCTATGAAATATTTGTTAATATTCTGTAATAAAGTGAAATTGACTTTTAGCAAAAAAAAAAGCTTCATAAAGAAGGCACCAACCCTGAAATCAAAGAAACATGTTAAGCACTCATTTAGCTTCACAGTGCGGATTGATCATTTGGGCAACAGACGTTGTACAGAGTATCTTTCAAATCCACCTAAAACACTTAATTTGAAAGATAATTTTACAATACTGCCAAAAAAGTTGTAAAACTTAATATGTAGGAAAAAAACTGAGCCTAATTTTTACATGAAAACTGGCACAAGAGCAAAATAAAAACAAAGTTAAATTATTTTTCTTTACAGTGAAGTCTTTAAAAGTCTAGGAAAACACTTATAAAACAAGGAAAAAAATGATATAATTGTATCAAATATAACACAGGTAGATCTTTGAATGTCCCACCTACACAGAGGCAAAAGGTTGTGGGAGTATGAAAGAAACTCGTCAGCCATGTTGTTAAAACCAGTACTCTGGCTTCCTTCAAAAAACATCAATCACTAATCACTAAATGGGCTAGGTAGGCCAAAGGCTTTTCTTTTGTTTGCAATCATTCTTTTTTTCTCCTCTTTTACTTTTTACAAAAACAACATACAATCCTCTTTCACATTAACACATTAACAAACATGGGTATTTAAAAAAATATTCCAAATAGTTACTAATACTACTCTAAATCCCCTCAGAAAACTGGGTAGAGTATGCTTCTGACAGAGGTGGGTCTGTTTGTAACCATTCTAACATTCCCTTCCATTTACAAAATGTATTTGATTATTTAATTAATTTTTTTTTTTTTAAATCCACCGCTCCTTGGCTACACACCTGCTATTGGCAAAGACTTCCCTTTGACCAATCCACTGACAGTGGCCTGGCCAGCAGCTCCATTGATCTGACTGGCAGAATGAATCAGTCTGGCTTTGCAGTCCCCAGTGTCTGTACCCTGGACTAGGAGGAGGTAGAGTCCATTCTCCCCTTTCACTTCAGGATCACAGGCTGAAGAAGATAATTTTCTTATATATATATATATTTCTAGATACATTTGGATGTATATGAATACGTGTAGAAAATTTCATGTATATATGCAATGCATTATATAACAATGGACAGGTACAAAAACAAAAACATTCCAGGATAAGGAGTCATGGATCATCAAAAGCTTAAACCTAAATACAGATCTATTTACTAACAGACGGCTTCAAATTGAGAATGGCAAAGTGATTTATTACTGTCATTATACTGGGCTCAATGATGTAGGTTAAAAAAAAACAAGCTAAATCTTCAATAGTTGAAAGGCAATTTAGCTTCCATTAAGAGCTATCCATTTGAGAATTAAGGGATAAAAGTACCAATGAATCAGGTTTATGGCAGAGTCTCCTGGCACCGTGGTCAGGGAAGTTGCCAACACAACAATTGTATAGATATTCAAACCACTGTTTGTTTCTGTATTATATGTACATCTTAAGAAATGACAGGATTTACCAAACACATACGACCAGCTTCGAAATGTAATGAATGGGGTGTACACAAATACTATATTTAGTATTGCCAAAACTCTTTTCTAACCCTGGTTTAAACAAAAACACACCTACTGTTTAAAGTTGCCATTGAGCCCATAATTAATGAAGAGTAATAAGTGATTGAAAATAACACCTCTCTGATTGTCATCTCGCTCTGTATCACTGAAAATCATGACTGACGCATATCCCAGTCATATCAGATTTTACCCTGTGTTTTATTACCCCTCCACTTTAACAATAACCAAGTGGAAAGATCTAATTAGAAGCCAGTGCCAACCATGGCTATTCCACAAACATCAATACAACATACTAACTGGAAGAAACAAAAGGAAGAGGTTCAGCTACCCACCAAAGAGTGATTTAGGTTTCTTTGCCATATACTCTTTCCATTTCTGAGTGCTTAACTGATTCGATGGTGGAATTACTATGTTGCTAACAGTACAGGACAATGCGAATAATGCTCCAACCTGTGGAAGAAGGAAAAAAAGACAGCTCAAAATCATTATTTAATTCAGGCCCTGACTTTTAACATATGCTAAACAACTCTAATGAAAAAGCATTCATTTTTAATTACAGAGGGAACTGGGCGTCCACAGCCTGTGGCCCAGATCTACAATGCAGACTGATTACAGAGAAGCGTAGTTTCATGCAGCAAGGCACTGATGTGGTTCTGGTTTATAGAATGCCACCCTATTATATCAATACCCTTTACAGCAACCTACAGTATGTCAACACAGGGCAAATTAACAGCTAAGCACCTGTGTGTGAGCACCTGAAGAAGGTCCAAGGCCGAAACGTTGTGTTTTCTTTCTTCTCTTTTCATCATGGAATAAACCTATTTCTTGTACCTTTGCAGCCTACGCATGCTGACGCAGCTGCCCACCTGAACTACTTAAAGTGTTAAATAACAATAATACAAACCTTCACACGGAGTGATCCCAGCTGATTCAAAAGCAATTTAGACTTGTCTCCCTTTGGTCCTGTTAACACTTCGCTGGATTAGCAAGTTAAGAGTTTTTTGAGAATCACATTTTATTCAATTAAAATTTTCCAAAAACAAAAACAAGAATGAAAAAATATGCCCCATACACCCTTTATTCTCCTCTGCATACACAAAAGGACTACTAAAAAAAGATGACAGTAGAATCACATACAGTGTGAAAATAATAAGTCCAAGCAGAAGTGAGAGATGAGGAGAGATTCTAAGAACATGGGTTTAGGTGTACAGACCATTAGAAGTGGTCCTTCTGGAACAAATGGGACTTGTTCATGCAAGAAAGATCCAATGAAGAATGTGAAGAAACTCTGAGACAACACTGTATACGATCAAAAAGAATAGAACAAAAGATTCAGTTTTTATCATAAAACTGCTTTTGAATTACAAAAAATTGAAAAGGGAACTGGTTCTTTTGTTAAACACAGATCAAAAATTAAAAACAAAAAACTAGATTAAAATTCAAGTTTATGATGCACAATTTATGCTAGCAATATTTTTACAGTTTTTAAAACATGAGCTGTCATACTCTACAGTTGCTTTGTTGTGTTCTTAATACCTTTAGTTACTATGGAAGATGGATTAGCAGTTATGAATTCTAATTATTTTTGAACATATTAAATAGAAGTATACATTTTGCAAAGAAGAAAGTCTGTGTTTAAAAAGTTTCCCTCTCCTCTGTCAGCCTTCAATGCACTTCACAACACAATATAACTTGTGTGGACATGTCTTTAAAGGAAATGAAAGAGCATAAAAATATGAGTTTCCTACTCCTATGACCTTGAAGAGTAAATACAGATTCATGCATACATTTTTATTCATAGAACTTAGGCCTCTCTACAACAGTTACCAGGAGACAGTAACTGCAGAATAACCAAAGCAGTACATGAACCTATATCCTTCTTATCCAAGGACTAAAATAAAGTTATTTTCCTTATTACATCGCCAGGAGGCAGGGATATTCCTCCCTAGAAAGAATTAAAACTGTGTATTCATAAAGTCTAAAGAATGCTTCATCATTTTTATAATCAGATTTGCAAAGTGCCACACTGAATTAACGGTCATGTACTGTACATAATTAATCCACAGAGTACAAAGCCAAACGACATCGTAACCTCTACAGGACAAAGGTCCACAAAAGAATTTCAAAACGCCTTAATTAGTTGCCCCGAACAAGTCTTTTTTTTTTTGCATCAGCATTTCTTTATACTATTATGTCCATTACCAGTGAAATACTTAGTCTCATGAGACACATTCTGGAAAAAAACTGAACTCTTCTGCCTACATATGAAAGTTAAGACCCTGCTTCACAAATAACATTTTCACTGCAGCAGTTTACCCCTGTGTTTGATACTGCCACATGAAAAAGGGAGCTGTGAAGTCTGCCAGAGTTTCACAGTGGTGTTACTGGAAAGGATACAGCTTGAACTCGGTGCTGGAATAGAAGTTTACTGGAAGGTCAGGCAGCGCCACCAGCTGTACCAAATCTAAAACAGGCCTATAATAGTGGTACACCTAAAAGAGACAGAGAAAAAAATAACCCAGTGTTATACTTCAGGGTGCAATCACAACATGCATATTTCCGCAATTTTAAAGCACAGAATAACTTGCTTATAACCTGCATTTCTCCAAGTCCAATGTCCAATTTTCTCCACTTACAAACATTTGCAGATTTGTGTTTTTTTCTCTTTAGAGTCCCCAAACGTTTAGCAACTTATCTTAGCACCACGACCCCCGTCTCAAGGAGAAGAGGGAGGCGATATCCTCTAACATACCACCCAAAACACCAACCGGTCATCGGCCACGCTGCAAACTGCGTCGCCTACCAGGACTCCGAGACCAGCTGGAAGGGAGGCAGGTCTCTCCCTGATGACACAGCTTGCTGAGGAGTTGCTGTTAGACAGGAAGCCCTTGAGAAGTCTCACCCGAGCCACCCAGGCAGCTTTTGCACAGCTGTACACAGCCGCTCCGGGAATGCTGGTAGCAGCTGGTGAATGTCAAAGCATGGCTGGCTTGGATTTATCTTCAAACGTCTAGAGCAGATTTCACACTGGAGCCACCAGTTCTCTGTTGAAGAACACTCTGGGCAGTTTCGCTAGAGTTCAGGATTCATTTACAACACCAAAGCCAATACAACTGGAAAAATTCAAGTGTCCTCTTTTGCAATAACAAATGGACACTTCATCTCCAGAAGGAATTTAACAGCACTACCTGAATAATGCAAAAATGGGATCCGTTTAGTCTTAAACGAAGCTGACGAAGTTGGGGGCTTGACTTGTTTATTTCGAATCTTGCGTATTATTGACACGGTTACTGCAAGAGACCACGGCAGATCGATGACAAAAAGCGGACAAAAGTGGAAATTAAAATTTCAGGACTGAAAGCAGCATACATTTAATTACACAGAGACGCACAGATGACTGCAAAACACTGCTCAGTTGTTCTGTTGAAGCTCACTCCTTGAGATTTGTCAAGAAACAGCTTGATGAGATTCTTGGATCAATAAGCTACTAGCAATTAAGACAGAGATTACCCAAATGGCCTCCAGTCATTTGTATCTTGTGCACTTTCCTTACCAAATGTTGTGTGATGTTTTTAAATCAGACTATTTCAGAACTTGAACCAATACCTAAGTCCTTATATATATAATATATCGCATCTTCAATTAGAGGGGAACTGCAATCCCCAATTCTCAGACCAGTTATCAAATTTCGGTAAAAAAATAAATTCATTGATGGCACAGAAACATTTTATGAATTTCGAATTAAGCACAAAATCGTGAACTTTTGTGAAAGTTCTGTTTAGCCACCATGTTGTCAGAAACCCCTGGTCTCACCAAGGGCGACAGCAAGAGCTAACACCAATTGTGACATGATGTGTCCCCTTCCTGCTCTCTAGTCACAGGCTAGTCACAGTGACTAATATAATGCGATGTACGAGCAAATTAAGTACAGGTTGTGGAGCAGATATTTCACTGCAGAAAGTTTCCAACGTGATCTGCATGCAGAGTTAACAAGTTAGTAGAATTTGTTTCTATTGGATTTAAAGAGACGTATTCACATGCCTGCTTGTGTACAATATCACAGGGCCGCAACACATCACCAGAAATTTTGTTACCTCATTACCTCATTCTGAACAGCACAATATGGGGCTGCACATATACCTGGAAATTTGGTCTATTTTGTAAATTGAAGGTTTTACAAGTTACCGTGTATATTTATCTTTTATTGTGGTTTGAAATGCACTCGTCAATGCTGATTCTTTCTAACCCCAAAATATAAAGATGACGTGCACTTCCCCTTGAAATTAAAAAAAAAAAATTAGAACTTGGGTGGAAACAGATAACAGCTATAAGACCTTCAAGAAAACGGTGATCAACATCTGAATGCAGCACACCAATTTTAGAATTTCCTATTTAGAAATAAAAAGCAAAACTAGAATCTAATTAAATTATTAAAATAGATTTTAAAAGATTAAAAGAATCTGCTCAAATAAAAAAAAAACAGTTCTAGATGATTTTTTCCATGTGCTACATTCAAAGAGACATGACATAACACACAGTTAAATGTGTTTCATATACACTGCTTAAACAAAGCACTCTGTCATCCATTCTTAAATACATTAAATGCTGCCTAATAGAATTAGTTCAGTTACAAAATGTGATTTTCTCTAAGCTTTAAGGTTTGTTGTGTTTACACTGTTGCTAACTTCCCATCTCATAACAACATCTGCTTTGTTTGCACCAGGGTCTATTGCAATGTAAGCAGCAGTTGGCTAAATACAGACTGGCCTGTGTTTCTCCTATATTAGCTTATTTGTGACCCGGATTAACACTTCAGAAGATTTTACGTGAATAAAGGAAAACAGGTTATACAGGTTATTACTTTCAGGAGGATTTTAAATCTTGACATTAATGTGAATTAGGCCTGTCAAATGAGGGCACCACAAACTATATTCAGCTGTATTTCACTCAGAACAGGGCTAAACCCTTGTAATTTTGGATATCCAGCATGATATTCTTAATTTTTCTTCTATTTCACCTATCACAAACACAGAACAAGAAATAATTTCACAATTACTGTGCAGGCATATAGAAATAAACCCAATACAGCAAAACTGTAACATCCAGATTTCTTCAGAAGTGAGCTGTGGTTTAAGAGAAGCGTGTTGGGATAACATTAATATGGAATCATAAGGGAGAGAATGATTCAATTTAAAAACTACATTTTGCTAACTGATATTTATCCAGAAATGATAATTTACTGGCCTTTAGTTAATGGTTTAATAGAACACTTAAACATACAAGTCAATAAACAGACTAGGAAGGCTGTAAGAGACTTAGACCTTCATGTAGGGAGCTGCATCAGCATGCGTAGGCTGCAAAGAAACAAGTAAAGGTTTATAACATGCTGAAAAGAAGATGGAATTCTAGCATGGAATAAATCTTTACTTGCTCCTTTGTAAGAGACATATACTGCAATGCAAGGTAAAAACGTATGCAATGTGGAAACCAATAAATAAACTGAATTTGATATTTTAGCATTCATCAGGGAAAATAGTATCACTCTTTAGATTGAACAAGGATCTTGTAATGTCCTAAGCAACATCAACCATCAACTTAACGTAGAAGAAAGTGCTCTAAGGACTAGGAGTAAAGTTCAAGCAAAAGCAAAATCACCTGGGCCAGACATTTTCCTAGTTGTATGCAAAGACATGAGGGTTGTTATTCAGAGACAATTAGTTGGGATTTCTCAGAAAGCTCTTGAGATGTAAACATACCAGCAGATGTAGACATGTATACACAGTTAAATGCAGTGATGTATATTAGAAGACGAGGAGCAGTCATTTTCAGAAGCTAGGTAAAAAATAAATGTAGGTATTTATGTTCTTCTCCTTTAGACAAAGTGGAAAATCCATAAAAAATAAAAAAATAACAATAAGACCACATTTAAAGTGCATACATTTTTTTAAATCAGTTTACAAAACATTAATAACATTGATAAAGCATGACTTTGCATTTAAAATGAATCCCCGGGGATTCTTCAAGTCACCTCAAGATGAAATTATTGGATCAATCAGGTGTTCTATCTACCCTCTCAGTTGTTTACTTTGTCCTTGTTCATAAGCAACATAGTTAACAGTGAAACTTCTAATTAAATTAACAGAAATAACACATAGCCCAAATGTACTTTAAAGCTGTAAAGAAGATCCAAAACATTAATAAAGCAGCAGGCTCCAGATTTGAAGTACTCATCTGAGAAACAGATGGAGCACTGATTTACTGTGACAGAAGAAACAAACATGCAGATAAACAAAAATCCTATTTTACCAGAACTAGTAAATTGACTCAGAATTACAAACTAGATAACATCACTAATAAACCCAAGAGTAATTAACCAGAAAGTGAAAATATATACAGACTACTAGCTTTTAATTTAGGGTGAAAAGCACCATCGCAATATTACCACTTCAAATTATTAATATGTAGTGGAAAATATATAAATATATTCCAAATTCTGTTCTATGACTCCACATGCAAAGTAAAAAAGCAAACCATAAATGGAAAGGATTCGATCTACGTATAAAACGGTGAAATAATACAAAGTTTTAATCTAAACTGAAAGTTACAAACTAATGCTTTCCATTATGGAATAAACATTTAAAATTGATAATGGGAGACACTCCCACTTCTGAGTACCAGGGGTTGTGGGAGTGTGAAAGAAGTAGCCTAGTGTAGTTAGTAAAAATAATAAACAGTTAGATGAGCAGAATGGGTCCCCTCTCATTTGTAGCTACTTATTTTTAACTCCTCCCATAAACAAAAAAAACAAACTGTGTTGCACAGTTAGTTCTTTATGTAAGGTTATATATTCTGCAGGCTTTCTCACAGTAATTTCTTAAATTTCACCAACACTAGGTAATCATTTGTACCTCTGTTCACCTTGTTATCAAAACTTCCAATAACACCTCACATGTCTTTATTAAAGAAAATGATGCTACATCATGTTAAGCAAATTGCTTATTTAAGGAGATTCTTCTACAGCTGTTAGTGAAAATAATGAAGAAATCCAGCTAAAGCAGTTAAATGGGAAAATGTAAAAACTGCAGAATTTACAATGGAAACAGAATCAATAATTGAAATCTGAATAATTCACCTTGAGATGTCTGCAAAGTACCCAAGCAGTTAGGCCATATTTTCAAGATGCGAAAGAAAACAAAGGGTAACACTAGTACTTCAAAGAGCCACTCTGCCTTCAGAGAAATCCAAAGGTGCAAGAAATTCAAAGCAAGATTAATTAAAATCAGGCTTTAGAGACGTATGTATAATTATCCTTACAAACGTTTTTATACCTGGCTATTGTGCACAACAAATTAAATGTATATTAGTTTCATAACCTCACATAAACCATACATAATACACTTTATTTACAGCACTGTGTACTTCAGCTACTGAAATTCTTACCCCAGAGATAAATTACAATATTTGTCAAAACCAATGGGCTTGAACTTAAGATTTTACTTAACTTTGCATTTTACTTACCTTGAACCCCACATGGTTTCAGCTATTAAAAGGGATAGTTCTAGTGGGTTCTTACAGCTCCCATTTAGTATGCCAGTGCATCTTGAAATGATATATAAATATAAAAATGTTCTGGGTTTCCATTCCAGATTTATAGTGAAACCCACAGTAAAAATCAAACTATCCATTATTAGAAAAAAGCTTATTTATTGATAATTGGCATGACAATCAGAAGTCTCTTCCTGGAAGCAAAGGTTATAGAGTAGGAAACTGCACAGATCAGCAGTTCATTTTAGAGAAGACACACACTGATACAATTTAGAGACACCAGAAAGTATATTTTTAAAAGATGGGCACCAGTTGAAAACATACAAACTCCACATAGGAGGTTCACCAGACAGGAATCCAGCTCAGGACCAAAGAGCTGTGAGGCAGCACCACCGACAACCCATCTTAATTAAGCAAAAATACATGAAGATCACATATCGCATGAAAATTTACCGTAATAATCTAGCAAAGGAAACACTGAGGATCCTTACCTCTGGGTCACGTTTACTGCCCGTGAAAGTTGGAAGATCAGCATCAGGGGACAGGATACTGCTCCATGTGTCACAAGGGACATTCTTCAAGCAGAATCCTCCAAATCTCACCTCTGAGGCAAACTACAAGCAGCATAAAATACTGTTAAGAATTACTGGGCCACAATATCACTGGCACAACCCAAGCATCACCTTCATCACAGCAGAAAACATCACAGTACTGAGATTGCAAAGTAGGTCAAGTGGATCAAACATTGCCTGATGGTTTTTATATTACTTGCTCTATGAATAATCTTTGACTAGGAGTAGTGGTATTAAAAGGTCTATCTAAATAATTATTAAAAAGGTTCTTCTGGAAAAAAAGAGACACTTTGAAAGATAATCATGGACGTGCACCTTAGTTAACAGTTTATGTGTGATGATCCATTACTACTGTTGGATAAAACAATGATGTTCAGAAAAACGTTTAGTTCTATATTTTGTTGAAAACCTTGTTTGTAATCATTTTTGATGCTCTTAGGTTATAAAGTTTTTACATTACATTTCTGTATTTCAATAGTACACTATAAAGTTATTAAACTCAGTTACGACTGTAACTATATACAAAGAAGCTAAGGGCAAAAGAACTCCAGACAATTAATGTTCATCATCTACAAGCTTTAAAAGAGGGAGTATAATATTACTAAAGACATTTAAAGACAAAAAACTGTGCTACAGGGTAATATGTTGGCTTTTACAAAGTCTACTGTTTAAGACAACTGCACAAATTCAATTTTATGTTTAGTGTTGTCAAAATGATTTATTGTAGGAAAAATAATTAGAAGTTAAAAGCTAGAGTTGGTGATCACAGATGTGCCATAGGGCAAAAAGATCAGACATCTCAAAGAGAGAGGCCTTTTCCTGCTGACATCCTATTTCATGTGCACACGATAGCAGTAGATAACATATCATAAAATCGCAGCCGGAGAGACTACATAAGAAAACTTTTAAAACAAGAAAATGTTTCAACTTAAAAAATACTCCATTATGACTTCAAGAAATGTTTACTTAAAAAAAATACCTGAATAGCACACACTCCTCATGCACAGCTCTGACAAAAGACACTCCTGTGATGTAATAATTCACGGTAATGGTTTTCAGCTAAGCAAGTGATGGATGGCTTGTAATAATGAGAAAAGGATGTTTTATCGCCATTTTGACTCACACAAATATTCATCAGGTCATTTTTTTTCCCTCTCTTATATCGTATTTAGCTGACAGAATGTTAACTAAAAATGTTAATCTAACATCTAATCTCAGATGGAACATAAGAGCCTACATGCAAATTGCTACAGGATATAAGCTGTACAGTAGTTCTGCTTTTAGTTTCATTGTGCTTGTTTAGAGCACACCAAAGTCAATGCTGAAAAAATTCTTTATAAAGCTCACGGTCAGCTAAAGAAGAAATTAAGAGCCTGGGAGACTGGGCAAAGGTCAAAGTAGAGCCTATAGAAAGAAGCTCCTAAGTAAAACCAGATCATTGCTTGAGCCCCACATGGCGTTCATCTATTTTCTTGATTATATTGGAATGTAACAGTTCCTACAGCCATCAGGCAAAGTACCACACTGCTTTAATCAGGCAGTGTTGGGATGACCAAACCACATTCCAGTAAAACTCTTTTTTTTTTTACACAGTAGTTCATAATTCTAATCACGCATAGTGTGGAGTGATCATGCCCATCTCATGGTGAAGCATCTGCATCCTGATGGGAGCAGAATCTTTCAGGATGAAAATGTCATCCACAGGGCAGAGGGTTTACTGAATGGCTCGATGAGCATGAAACCAATGTAAACCAGGTGCCATGGCTATCCCAGTAACCAGATCTCAACCCAATTCAACACTTATAGGAAATTCTAGAGTGGCGCCTCAGATTGTCGTTTCAACCATAAAAAAAAAATTAAATGATGGAATTTTGTGGAAGAGTGGTGTATCATCCCTCTGACAGAGTTCAAGACACGTGTAGAGTCTCTGTCAAGGTGCACTGAAGCTGTTTTTGGCTCATGGTGGCCCAACGCCCTATTAAGACACTATGCTGGCATTTACTTTATTGTGGCAGTTACCTGTATAAAGCACCCAACACAAACTTACTAAACCCAATGTTAAGCTTGAACTCATATTTTGTTTTATAAATTCCACATTAAAGACGGTAAGCAGGTGTTAAGTATGAGAAGAAGAAAAACACAAAATAGTCAACTAAGGGAATGGAGATTGCACGCCCCCTAGCGGAATAATTTAGAAAGTACATGACCTGAGAAATTCAAAACCTGCATGATCTCATCCAATATGCGTGATCTCATTTTAACTCAGGTTCTCAGATACTCTTTTTTTAACTGCGGCGCTATTAATGTCTTGGAGATTGCGGCAGTGTATATTTTGAAGAAAATTAAATTTACTGTTTATGTTTAAGGAGAAAAAAGTAAAACATTCTTGGTTTATGATGAGCTCATTTATCCTTTTTCAGAGAAATATATGGGCCTTTGAAGAACATTAATTTTATAGAACTTTTTTGAAGTATGGAAATTGATTTTCTTTGTGTGGCTTTGAGTTTGATTTCAATGTTTTTTAACATACAATGTTGTCTAACATTGCTTCTTTTGTGTGAATATAGAAAGAAATTACCAACGCAAATGACATTATCTTAATGTTGTCTATACTGTATATAATACCAAAAAGTATGTTCATATATATAAATAAAAAATCCATTCAGAAGCAGAGATTATGGTGAATACAAACCTTTTTCTCTCTAATAAGTATATTTCCTCGCCATATCTCCTCAACATCAATACAGCTCCCAAGGTTTTGTGGATCCAAAATATGAGCAGACAAGTAAGTTGCTGTTTTCTGCCATCTGTATGTAAAAAGTACCATTCATCGTTAAAGTCAAAAATGAAAAAATAATTCAGAATCTTCAAACTCAACATAATAGCCAGAATAGACAATTATTTCTTGTCAACGGTGAAAGTTTTTACAATACATGAACATACTGGCTACACTACAGTCAAACTACAGTATACCCAGAAATCTCTATAAAACTCATCAGGAAAACCTTCTTTTGTAACTTTTTCTCCAGTACCAGGGAGTCACCATTCTTTCTCGAAACCACGTCACAGATGATGAGAACACTCTTTGTTATCCAAGGTATGCACCTCTCCTCATGGTAGGTTTTATCATACACTCCAGCACATTGCAATAACAAACCTTACAAAGCATAGATCTTCCCAGGCTGAGCTGCAATCCATTAGTTATGCAAGGCAAGTAACCTCTAGCACACCTAGATTGAGGCTCCATGCTGTTTAAACCTGGTATCACCTAGTGTACACTTGAGAGGCCCTCCCGTGGCTATTTAATTATTACGCCCGAGTTTGGTTGCAGAAATCCATACTGTTCAGAATGAACTTTACAGTGCTAAACGTCACTCAACTTCTGCATTTTGTTTGGAATCCAGATCTTAATACAGAGGATCAGGTAAGGTATTTAAGTTAAATTAACTTCAAATTTAAAGATGACTTATTTTTCCCCCACAGACAGCATACTGAGCTTCAAAACACACGTATCACTTATAAACCCACCAAATTCAGGTAAATTACAATTTTTGCAGTATGTGCACTGACAAATCAGTGAAGGGATATAACAAATTCATTGTGCTGATTAATGCATCACAAACAGTAACTTCAACAAATCCACTCTACTATACGTCTACTATAAAAGTCATAGGTTAGTCGCGTGAGGAGCCAATGTTAGAATCAATACCAGATGTATATCTATAGCTCATGTTCTGCAAGAGCTTGCAGATGCTGTCTTGTGCGACTCCATCCCATTCCTGTTGTAAAGCCCAGACAAGCATTTGTTTGTTCAATGGTCTCTGAGCCTTAGATGCTACATACTATCCAAAGTCATTCCAGAAATCCTCAACGTGGTTGAAGATTGCATAATAAGATATTTGCAGCACTGCTGTCACATTCCCATCTCTCAAAAAGCCATTGTCACACAGTACAAGCATGCTCTTTGCTCTGCAGAGAAACTAGACACTACTGCTCAAGAAATCTCACAGTCAACATCAACTACTGCAACAATGTACTGACTTAAGGCCATGTACCTGTAGCATGTGCATCAACTTCACGATTTACTATAACTTCTCACTGTCAAACCCATAGATAGTACAACAAATGATAACGCAATAGCATTTTGAAGTGCTATTTCATTTGGTTTACTGCATCGGTTCTCATCAGCTAACAAGCGATTATGTTCAAGTATTTTCAAGAAGAGAGGCTAAAAATATACATTATATATATATATTGAGTACTGTCTATGCTTTTGTTCAAATGAACTCTCTTA